GAAAACAATAGGCGGTTGTCGAGTTCCGGAGACAAATCAGAAAAGGCGTTATAAGTAGCTGACGACCGTAGATGCGTGCTTTTAGATACGACTACTGTACATGCACTCGGTACAGTCGCCTGCATGTCAAATGTTATACGCATACATAATAACAATAATTAAGACATGTAATTCTTACAAAATGATTACACGCACAGATAAGAATTACAAGGACGTCATGAATGGACAGAATTGTGAGTAAATTATCCTGTTGATTCATACTTATTATATACGATATTTTTTTTTTGGGTAAAAACATAAAGAAAAGATTTTGTAATTTTTACCATGCAGCTTAAAATTACACTTGGACCATTGTAAGCCTCGGAAGCATTATGTAGGCTCTGCTATCGCTAGTATTTAACTGGGTTGCTGCACTATTCTGGACAAGTAGAAATTTACAAAACACTTATCGTTAAGTAATTAGGTTAAATAATATAAGAATTTACATAAACTCCGTGGTACATTTGATATACAGGCAAGAGACCGAGTCTTTGATTTTAAATATCGTTGGATTCCAAGTCACACGTGACGACCCAGCAAGTACAATTCGTATTAAATTCAGTTTACAACATTTCCATAGACGGTTAAGAACATTGGTTTAGAAAAATTTGTTCGGTTGGTTTCGAACGAAAATTTGATGCGTCGGTAAGGTTCAGAATATGTTCCTAGTGTTGAATTAATTAAAACAAAGTTGTGAGTTCGTTCTACAGTTGATATTTACAGGCCGGAATAATACTGATTAATACTTGATATTACGATAAAAGCATATTAAACACATAGCTTACGTAGTTAACACATACATGTGTGACATACGAGTTTCATAGAAATAGTTGGTTTTTTATTCGAAATAAAGCACAGTTGTCGACATAAGTCCAATTGTTGCAACTGTGAAAGCAATTATATTCAAGTCTATCGCAAATACGATTTCACTGAACTATATGATGATGCATCAGTTAATTCCTCTCACTGTTATTCTCTTTGTAAAAGTTCTTTTAAATATTGCTCGATAGCCTATTTTCATAAAATTCTGAACCCTACCAACAACAGACATTAGATTATATGCACGTCTAGATACCGCCACGTAACGGATATCATATTTACGGCAACACTTTCGGCATCGCTGTGTGCGTAAGGCGCCGTTTTTCACTGTTCACATCGGCTACATTTGTGTGCGTGTATAGGGGAGTACCCCTAGTAAGTAATACGATTATACTATACCAGCTGTTCATGCTATTTCATCCGCGAGAAACGTTTCTGCTACGCCCCGTAGCGTATCGTAGCGATGTTAAAACCCTAATCATCCGTACGAATTGGGAAAATCAAATGCAAAATGATTTTTTCAAATCATACTGTTATGTTCCGGAGATGAGCGCGGAAACGAAACAACGCTTCAGCTTTAGGCACAGATAATTGAATTTATGCGATTAAGAAGAAATAACTGTTAATTCTATGGCGCGTTTTTACTGACGGCGATACTTGGAACACATTAATGTTAATGTGTCCGAGACGAAAGACGGATTCAAAGACTCTAACATGGCAAAATAGAAATCTAGACGTGCATATAAATAATCAAATGTAGTAAAATAGAAGTCATCAAATGTATGTGACACGATGAAAACACGAAAACTAAAAAACGCTAAGCAATTATGATTGAATAGGAAACGCAACATTACAATTATTCTCGACTCATACTATTGGAGGTGTCAATTAATTCACAAAAAAAAAATATATCAAACACTATACATTGATCAATTCAACGACTAAATCTAATTAATAATCATAAAAATATTTTTTTTTCATAATAATACCTTCACGAGATTAACGTTAAGTATAATATACAAGACATTCATTTAGCATTCATCAGTTTTGGCCCGAGAGTGAGTTTTAAATAAGTCTAATGATAAATTAAAATGATATATGCATTATGGGTAATCAATTTAAGTTAACGAAAATAAATTAATAAGTACAATCACATATTTCTTCCCACTGCTGGGCAAATGTATTCTCTGTAAGGACCGCAATCCTTCATGTTGAAACTGCGCTAATTTTTTTTTTCTATGATCGTGGCATTTTGTTATCCTTTATGCCAATGACAAGAAAAGAAAGGAAACTGGCTTTTCTGCGTTAATTTTATATACCCACAAAAGAACATATTTAAAAAAAATGTAGCTATAAATAAGAAGAATGTTCGTTTCGCTTCCCTTATTTCGATTTCTAGACACAATAATTGTGTCCTTACAGTTAGCACATTTAAAAAATAAGATTGATAGACAACGTCCGGTGTCGAAATCTGTGTTTCTACGGAAAATATTTCAATTTTAGTTTACGATGAGCCAAGGCATTTTATTAACACCATTATACAAGGTTGATTTAAAAGTTAAAAACTAGATTCACTCGGAAGCCAAAACTCGACGAGACTCAAACGCGAGAAACGGCACCAATAAAATAAAATCAAATGAAAAAAATCTTAACGGCCATCCTTACGTATAGCGAAGGGATGATAAATTAAAAAAAAAAAAAAATAGCACCTGCGATTAATCGAGTACACCAGTCTCCGTATAAAATATAAAAGGCATTGTATAACAATAAACGCATTCCATAAGCGAAAACCATTCCCGCTTCTCGCTCATACGCGATACAGTCATGCACACAAGTGTTTTGGTTCCAAATAATTCAATTAATCAACTAGTAGGCTCGAGCACATAAGTGTTTCGGTTTCGATTAAACAGCTAGTAGGCTCGAGCACAAATATGTTATGGTTTCAATTAAACAACTAGCACGCTCGAGTACACAAGTGTTTTGGTTTCATGAAAGAACTATTAGGCTCGAGCACACAAGTGTTTTGGTTTGATGAAACAACTAGTAGCCTCGAGCACACAAGCGTTTGGTTTCAATTAACTCGGTTAAACAATGGTAGGCTCGAAATAACTCGAATACAGCAAACAGTCCACTGGTGAAAGTTTCATTGCTACTAAGAATACCCTAATTTAGAAAAATTCCATTACTTAATACTTTTTTGGTAATCACACAAAAGTCGTGTGAACGACCGTATTTACTCCGCTAACGTCGCTTAACTAAAGCTGCCAAAGATTAAAATATATACTATTCGTAGTGTCAATAGGAAATAATTTAAATAATTACGATAATAATACATATAAAATATCTATGCTAATACGAAACTAGATTAAAATACAGGACATCATAAATGTGTAGCACTAAATGGCTCCGCATAGAAATATCATTTACAGAGTTTTGCCTTAATCACGTAGTGAAATCGTTTGGCGATACTATACTGGTAATGGGTAAACTTCAATGTTAATTACCCTATAGATCCACTAAGCTTATTCATTAGACTATGATCTAGACGAAATGAAATTGTTTTCTGCTAAGTGAAATGTTAAATAAGAAATAAAACATTTCAATAAGACAAATATAGTAAGCAAAAAAGACATGAGGAGAATTTTATGTCACAATTGCTCAGGACTACTGATAAAATTGATTTTATTGCTTAAATACAAAACAAGAACTCAATCAAATACATTCAGTAATCACAGCTGATTGAAAATATAAATAAAACATAATTTCCATTAACCGGGTAACAAACCCCAAAACAACAGTTTCAATTTATTTCACGTTTTGTCACCAAAAAAAAAAAAAAAAAAAACAGATATTTATTTTGCTAACCCTATCTGCGAATCTGCACTCTTGCATCGCACTAAACGTTATTCTATAAAATCCTTCAGATAAACGGGAATATATACTACTCAGACATCTTTAATACAGTACTTACACCAATTTAATGTCACTTTTTGTAGAACATTAAACCACAGCACATATCAAATTATGCCAATGGCCATACTCAGATGTCGTTACATTTATAACTGAGACAAAAGTTACATTTATAACTGGGACAAAAGGAGTCACTTTAACACTTACCTAAGACCGAGCTTGGCAAATAACATTAAGAAACATTATAAACATTTCAGGGTAGTTTCACACAGCGTAATCTAGTAACAAACTAAATATATTATACTATGGGCACTAGGCAACTGATGTACGTACTTAAAGAACGTACTTAAAGATACGTTTTAATGCGTATAGTAGTAGTAGTATATTTCCAGCAAATAATAAACACCCAAATACTATACTAATGTCAAGTACTCGCTACCTGTCATATCAATTGCTGGAAATAATGTAATAATAGATACAGTTATTTGTTAATTACTTTGCAATAGTAATTTATTAATTAGGCACTCCTACTAGTGTGTTATTTTATGCATGGATTATTTTGTCATTTATGCGAATAATAAATAAAATTATTAAGTTTAAAACGAAATTGTGCATTTTTTACTTTATCTTAATATAATATAAACATCGACAAGACAGTGGTGCGTCACTAGAAATCCCGTAAGTGCGAAAGAGAGCGAAACAGGCGGCGTCCTGCTTCCACGTTTTGTTGCGGGCAGCGAGTATTTGATATTAGTATATAGAACACTGCATTCGGCACACAATATTTACCCAGAGTGGGGATAGAACGCACACGGCGCTAGAAACGAAATCGTTATCCACCATGTCAATGGTAGCCGAACAGATCCAACGCTAACTAATTGCTAATTGACGTCTCTTAGTGCGGCCACATATATCATATTTGTACATTAAAGTACAAATGATATCAACACTGCGATTTTTAATTTCGGATGGAGATATTTAGAAGCTGGTCTGGAAAGTTGAATCACTGACAGTTATGTCACTGGGTGAAATAAACAGTAATCTAGCAAACTGGTGTCCGATAGTCAATAATCATTGTTTGCATAATTCTGATAAAAAAAAAAATAACAAGCTCCCTTATCTATCCGCAGCATTAGGGGTTGCTGAGTTTCTGAACTCATAACTTCAATCGAACTTGTGTGATGATGTTAAATGTTGGCAAATTGGACTGCTCCAGGCTGCGGCACCGCTTAATCTGGTGGCAGGTAGCTGAAGAGCTTGTACCTGTCCCTTATGTATGGGCGGACGTCGTCCTTCTGCAACACAATAGCAGCGTTTAAGATTCATGTTTGGACATCTTGAAACATTCTTGAAGCAAGCATTACAAATCTATTATGTCCAGAATAATAATAAAAGACGTTAAGAAGTTATGTACTATAATGTAATTAGCTAGGTGGCTTAACACAATACGTAAATCGTCCGTCGCTTCTCCTACTACCTTCACTTATTTAACTTTATTTGACAACAAAGTAAAAAGTACCCACATTTAACATTTCACATATTGGAACATGACAAAATCTATTTTAAATGCTTTGCAACATTGGTATAATCACTGACTATCTGTGGAGCCATAGTAGGGAAGAAAAAAAAATGCTTTGCAATAACACCGTTTCAAATTCATATTTAAACACTTACCCATTTAGGTATTACAAATCTATTTTAAATTTTTTGTCCGAGTGGGAATCGAACCCACGACCCCCAATACCAAATCCTTAATAGGTTAGAAACGCCGCCACCGAGCGATCATAAAAAGCAAAATACATACATATAGTTACACTATAAAGTGGAAGTATTTAGCTGGAGATTGACCTGATGTTAAGCTATAACCGCCGCCCATGGACATAAGGGTTACCAATGCGTTGCGTAACTTGCAATTAAGTGGGCCCCAGCTACCTCACTCACCGGACGAAACGCAGAAGTGTAACAGTTCCAATTCACGCTGGTCTTCTGTGAAATCGTAATGCATCCCCGATGGATCTGCCCATTCGTGCAACAGCGAAAACTGTTGCGTGGCCCTACCACAGATGCCTTACTCATTTCGGCACAAAGTATCGATACTCACAGTGGCAAGGTGCTCTAGGAACGGTAGCAGCTTCAGCAGCTCATTGTCGCTCTGGTCCACGAACCAGCTGTCTATTGGTATCCCGTTCTCAAGCTGGTAGCCGAAAGCCTGTTGGCAGAAGAATATTACATACACAGACACGACAGGGATAGGTGAAACTATCGTTTTTACGACATAGATTTTACAGCATTTGATTTTGATTTTAAATTCCACACTTTTACCAACATTCCTGATCACTGTGTTTTCGAAATTGTTTTGCAATTTTTTAAAAAAAGTTTATAATTAAGTTCGATACGGCCATAACAATAAAAAAAACTTCTTCCGTCAAACCTGTTTTTGCCCATCACAAATAAAATAAAATGATAATATAATGGTGAGTTGACGGAGTTATTGTAAGAAGTGGAAATCTGTAGATTCATAACATATACATACAACAACAACATTTCTTCATCAACAAAAATATTTCTGGGTACCTTTTTACACTTACACTATTCTATTAAATACTGCCTATAGTAACATACTTTTCTCATAAAAAGAAATTCATATTATAGCTATATAAACCGTATACTAAACACTATGTTCATCACACAGTATTTTTCCAGTAGCGGGGATCGAACCCACATCCGCTGGCGAGAAAGACAAGTTCACCGTCCACTACGCCAATCAGGTTGTCCGACAAATTGACGTATGCGAGTGACAGCATTATCTATCCAACGCATTAGCATTATCCACATTCAGCTCGTACCTGCGGACTGTTGTCCACTATGATCGTCTTGCGAAGGTCACGGCCCAGGATCGACAGGTCCTTCACGTAGTTCCCGTTCACAAGCAGACAGTGCTCACGGAAAAGGCTGCAAGGGAGAATTTCACACGTGAATATCGTCGCGTCAAACTTTTAATCGTTCCTAAAGGGTTACGGATAACTCATTTTCTTGTTTGTTTTCGTTGTTTGGTGGAAAGTTCTGTACGTATTTAAATTAATCCTTCCTAAGTTATAATATTATACAGAGTATGATACGTTACAATGTCGATGTTTTCTCTTTTCGATATATCGAGGCAGATATTGATATTTTTATAAATATCGATACATCTATATAATATTTCTTCACTTTCCACGAGCGATTGTATCGCTGCGGCTAAAGGTATGCGGATCATATACGCGCGCGATTGTACACCGTATAGCGCGTACGTTCTCTTCGCGCGATTGTGCCGCTGTAGGCACTCCGCAGTAAGTGCTCCGTGCGCGATTGTACTATTGTAGGTACGCCGCGCTTGATAGATTAATTTTACAAATTAAATAATTATAATGTTATAAAAATATAATATACTCAACTATGTTTCAAATATAATTCTGTATTAGATTTACGCTCAGTTTCTGAAACACTCATCATCGTAGAAATTAACTAATCAGCTGTCAAATGTCATTTAAGTTCCCAGAAGGGTTAAACTATCTGTATTGATCAGAATGATCTACTTATTGATCAGAAAGCTTAACTTCTACGATGACCAGTGTTTCGGAGACCGGACGGTTATTTTTATAAATTATTGTTAATCTGATTGACGAATACGATTGGTACGAATCTGATTGACGAATACGATTGGTACGAATCTGATTGATATGATTGAAAAAGTAGAAGTAAATTCTTACTATGTATTGAAAAGCAATGACAACGAGAGTAAATAATAAAACATAAGGCGGATTAATAAACCTGTCTTAAAATTAACTTAATCTGACACTCGAAAACATTGCGTGGACGGAAGACGGAGGCGCTTCAATAATATCCTCTTCAATTAAAATCTTTTCGCAATCAGCGCACAAGGAGATATTAACACCGGCGGAACCCACCGGTATTTGATCCAGCGGCGCGCAGGGTCCAGCAAGTTGAGCAGGCGGTCGGCGTAGACGCGCTTGCTGGCGGTGAACAGGATCACCTCGTAGAGGCGGGACACGCGCGTCAGGAACTCCGCAAAGTGGGGCCGCGTGCGGACGAACACCTGCATTCAACAAGAACTATTATTAAAATGCTAAATAGTTATGCCGACCCGAATGGCGTAGTGGTTAGTGTACCCGCCTCCTGCGCCAGGTGTGGGTTGGATCCCCACTACCGGAAAAATATTGTGTGATGAACATAGTGTTTTTCTAGTGTCCCGGTGTTTATTGTGTAAAATATGTATTTATTTACAAAAGAAAAGTATGTTTAATTATGTTTATCAGTTTTCTAGTACCCATAGTACAAGCGTTGCTTAGTTTGGGGCTAGAAAATGTTGTGTAAAAATGGGTCCTAAAATATTTTTTTTAAATATTTTTATTTTTGATGTACCTATAATAAGCTGTAACAATTTTAACTGGACTTTGGTTGATCTGTGAAAAATAAACGAAATTTATATGCCCGTCTCTAATGTCTAAATAACGGCCTTTTACTGAATGTTATGCCTGGAACAATTAACTAGCAGATAGGTTATGTTATTAGAAGTTATCCCTTTTTCCGATATATGTTTATATTGAAAAAAAAAAAAAAAAAATAGCATTTCGATCCTTTAAAAATGGGATTAAATCCAGTTCTATGGTCAGTTTTAATAGAGAATGTTTAAATTTGTGAGAAATATGTCAAGTTTCCTGTGGCACTACATAAAAGTTATTTTTTTCTTAATAGTTATCATTTAATAAAACCATTTAATTCACAATTGATTCTTCAAACTGAACGAATCTGTTTTCAAATTTTGCGCGCACCAAGTCGCGGGTAGCTGCTAGTTTGAAAATAAAAAAAATCAGTTATATAGTCAGTCTCAATGTTACTTAATGTATATGCATAAAAACTAATTTTTTGGTGGTCTAAAATTACCAGTTATACAAAATTGATGTTTCAAGTTAGTTTGTCTTAAATATGTTATAATATTAGTACAATAGAGGAAGAAGAAGAAAGTTTAATGTGAAAAGACACTACAGATTACCAATATAACTTAGTTTAAACCAATTTATAATAGTTGAGTATTATTCATATAGAATAATATTGTTTATTTATTACTTACAGTATATCTGCAGTCCTGGAACAATACAGGAAAGTGGAAACTGGCATCTGGCAATTCCTGCAGTGAACAGTGGACCAATGTCTCATCAAGATCCAACACCTAGGAGAAAAAAGTTTATTATTATCCTCTTTTGCTAAAATTTTACTTGGTTTATGGCTCAAATCTTGCAAAATCCAGGACAAAAAAACACTAAAAAAGGAATCCATACGTCTCTCTCTCTCTATACAGCGTGTCTTTACAATCGCGACAATAAATGAACACACATATAGAGGATACATTTTTAAAATTGTATTAAACATTTACATTCTTTAAACATCAATATTTATATAGTTATTAAATTTTTCAAAACAAAGAATTTTAGAACATCCTCACGTATAAAACTGTAACGTAAAGTTCGTTTGTAAAGGTCACAAAGCATATGAATGGGTAGAATGGCGCTGTGGCAATGAATGAAAGTCTCTGAATGTATGAATCAGTCAGTTGTAGTTGTATAGGATGTTACAAATTTTGTTTCTTTTTTACTAAATTAGTTTCTTTGAAAAATATTTTTTTTTAATTATGGATTTTTTTTAACGTTAATATTTTTTATGATTATTGGCAAGTAGCTTTAGATATGTGTTCATTTATTGTCGCGATGGTAACGACACTCTGTATATTGAGTTTTTAAAACCTTCATTTAGCTACTAAACCTCTTTAGAAATATTATTTTGTGTTAAATTTGAAAACACAATAATTATTTCTAGTATATCAATTTTAAAAATATAATTAATAAGCAATAAAAAAGTTTTTTTTTACAATTATTAATTATTGTCCATTTTTAATTTGTAAATTAAAAGGTATTTGTATAAACAAATATGATAAAATAGTCACCAGGCTAAAGTCAGGACTGGTCCTGGTTTTCAACGGGAGGGCCGGACATCGGGCACGCAGAGCTCGTGTGGACACACTCTCCAGCGGTGGTAGCTTAAGTCCAAAGCACAAGAACTAAGTTTACATCAATTAAGCATTATACATGTTTTCATATTTATTTTTCACAATCCTTGGTAACGTCTTTCTATTGGACCACTTCCCTAGGCATATAACGAAACCAACTTGATTATTGGCTCTTTGTTCTGCTCTTAATCAGTATATTGCCAAACTTTGAGATATTGATGAGTGTCCCCCACCAGAATTCCCACTCACTTTATCATCAGTCTTTTTGCCTTTCCTTTTCCTATCCTTATAATGAGAGAATTTCTTTTATAAAATATCAATATATCCTCTACCTCAGAGGTAAACAGCATTATGCAACAACACACAAATTTTACAGGAGAGGCAAAAATAGGTGTAGTGAATCACTGAATGCATTATGGATTATGATGTCATATACAATTGGATATTTTATTATTTAGACGTTGTAGGACTTAATGCTTTACACTGTTGTGTAGAATTAGTTCGTGCGATTTTAATGGTATAAGAAAGAGATACTATTTTATGCCTCTGAGGTACAGAATTATTTGTATGAGAGTGCTCGGTGGTAGATTCTAAACGTGGTCAGAGCCATCTATCGAAAAAGGCCAGTTAAAAGGGAAATGTCATTGTCATCTGTCAATAGTGCTGTATACAATGATCTTCATAGATCTTCTCAATTGGATCTAATGTATCTCTTCATTAGACAATTAACGAACATAAATTTAGTGCAAAAAAATTAAGACATACATGTGAGCCAACATCGCAAAAATCGGAGTTAAGTCATGCAAATACCTAAATATAAATTAATGTCCACCAAGTGCCTAAATAAAAATTAATGTATAATTTTGTATGTCTACACCATTGCATGGTATAGACATATAAAATTACTGATTGGCGCGAATGAGACATCAATATAATTCACGGGTTAACAATGTTTGCTGTTTTACTTCATTACCTGTTTTATGAAGAGGTAGGGATCGAAAGCGTCCACCCAAGGCGATATCTGCTCGCAGTCCACGCGATTGCTGCACGATGATATCACGTCAAGGTCCTCCTCCTACGAAACCAACATATTGTTATTTATTGTCGTGAAAATTTTTTCGCCCACAACTATTATATATTAGTACAAATTTTGTGTCAACTCATTTATAAATAATGCTTTACTCCAGGATAACAATATACCTTTGTTGTGGTTGAGATGCAACCCGCAACCCACAGATGATCAACTTCAAGATCACTGCATTAAAATACTTTTTAATGTATTATGCCTGCCCTTATTCTACCTAGGTGGAGTCAGCATGAAATGGGAATCATGCTTTAAGTATTTGCTTTTTTTTACAACCAACTGCCTGCCTAATGCCAACCCTACTTGGGAACAATTTGTTCAAACAAATTCTTGTCCTATGTTGGAATCGAATTTCCGAAGCTAAAAACTAAGCGACTCCGCCAGATTATTTTTTTTTTAATTCCAAAATGGCCAGCATTGACTGCCATCCCACTTGACGGTAAGTGGCGATGCAGCCGTTGATGGTAAGCGTAGTGCCTCAGTAAACAGATTCAATTAAATGTATGTTAGAGTTGTTATGTAAACAGTAGTAATATATCTAAATATAGTGTAAAGATATTTAGATATATTGATAAAACATAAATATGTTGCTGAAATACCTCTACATTTTCTCCTTGTTCATCATGGCAGACCATTGCAGTATCATCAGTAACAATGTCAGACTCATTCTGTAAATAGCAATAATTGTAGCGTATAATTATAGTATTAATAATTATTATTATCTCAACAATCCTAAAGTAATTACAAAAAATAGGCCAAGTGCGAGTAGGAGTCCCGCACTACGGGTTCAGTACCATTAACTATAACAAACTAATTGGGAAGTACCTATAGGTTGCCTAGTTTGTTACTTTTTATTTTATTTTGTTTTTTAGTTTTTGTTGTTATAGGGGCAAGGCGGTACAAAGAAATACATCATCTGTGAAAATTTCAACTGTCTAACAATCACTGTTAATGAGATACAGCCTGGTGACAGACAGACAGACCGACAGCGAAGTCTTAGTAATAGGGTCCCTTATTGCCAATAAAATACATATATATATAAAAAATATAACAAAATTAGGCTTTCATATTTTTTTTGTAGCATACACAAACTGTCTTTTACATATATAAATGGGGCTTAGGAAAAGTTACTACATACATATTATAGATTGCATATTTTTTGTGCTTTACATGAAGGAACTATAATTTAGTTTATAACTTATTTCTTTATAACGTATATATACTTATTTCAAATGCAAAATAACATTATGGCATGAAAATATACAAATTTCCTATTGAACTATTATAATTAGTATTTACTTACCCAGCCTGCTGCTTCTGCTACAAGGCTCTGACTTATCTCAGCCAAGAAACCAGTACTTGGACCACGGGCTGACAAGGCCTCCAGACTCTCAATAGCGGTACCCTGTGCATCAGTACAGGTTGACGATATCTCGCATTCGGAGTCGCGCACATAGCCGTCTTGCTCCAACATTGTAACAAAGTCTGGCTGTAATATAATATTACAAGATTATATGTAACTGCCTGTATATCATATGGCCCACTTGTGAGGGCTTTTCTGGACTGAATATTACTACATAGCAGACAACCCTACTGTGGATTGGCTTCACATAAAGTAACAGCCTAAAAATGTCCCATTATTGGGAAAATACCTCCTCTTTACAGAGGGTATAAGTGCCTAGTCCACCATGCGACCCCACTGTGAATAACTTCCAAGGTATTTCCTCACTATGTTTTCCTCCACTGAGGAACTCACTTCAGAGAACATGAGATCTTGGCATATTCTTTTCTAATTTTGAATTTTGATTTCACTGCCACACATGGAGCTGTGCTACAGTGGCAGGACTATAATTCTACCATGAAGTTCTTGTTATCGAGTTGATGTGCTCCCAATCAAATTTGAGAATTAACAAAATTTTCAAAACAAAACAAGCCTGCCTTGTCTGATGTGTTTACATCCAATTTTGTTTAACATATTATCAAGAATTTTGGATTTTTTTCTCAAAGATAAAGGGTCCATGATAGATTAGAGAAAAAGGACATTTAAGAAAAAAAGAGATATACGTACCTGTACATACTTTTCACCTGTTGCTAAGAACTCTGTGCACACATCTAAATCATCAGTAGTAGATGTAGGTTGATACATTTCCAAGTCATTGCTTGACTTTCTACGTTTCATTAACCTCTTGTCAACGGAATTTTTGCGCGGCAGCTTTTTTTCATCCACTTTATCAGTGGTCATAACTCTGGCTGCTTTGTCAGCTAGAAAGTTGATGTCCTCATCATCAGCAGGCAACCTTTCATTTATTAGACGGGCGCATTCAGCTATAGCTATAAAGTCATTTAGGCAGTCATTGGGGAGGCACAGTTCAGAAGACTCAACTTGTGTTTCCGAGTCTGAATCATCAACTTTATTGCCATCTGCCGTTGTTGTATGCGGTTCATACATTGTCACATCATCATCCACAGGGTTCCAATTACTTTGTTCTGGAACTAAAGGATCTTTAGACTTACATTTCTTTTTTGGGCTCTCTTTAGTTGAACTCACAGCAACTTTACTAACTTTTTGTGATGGTATACCCAGTTGACGAACTTTACGAATAGGAGAGCTATTCAATGATGCAGCTTTGTCCACTTTATCCATTCTCCTAGTTTTACGTGGAGAACTTATTGCAGAAGGCATAACATCAGGTCTAATAAGTTCTCTATTTAAAGAGCTGTGGCGTAGTTGTGCATTTTTTGTTGTTCGTACATCATTTCCTCTAATTTTGGATGTTGTTGTGACTTTGTCATTCTGAGTCATCCTTGCAGTTTTCGCTAAAGTGGTTGATGTCACATCTTTGCCAGAGTTTCGCACCACAGTTTGAAAGATTGGTTTTTTGGTACAAACATCTTCCTTGTGCTTAGGTTTTTTGTTCAGCACTTGCACTTGCCTCTCCATCATTGCTGATTTAATCCTCACAGGCTTGGTTTTAAGATTTTTCTTTGGATGTCCAATAGCAAGTACTGTGTTAAGCTGGACTGAAGCATTTCTAGCCGCCGTGCGTCTTAATATATTTCCCCAGGTGGATTTATCTTTAAATTTGCGTGATTTTGCGCTCTTAGTTTTTTTTATAATAGGGAGCGGTCGCTCCCTTTTTCGACTTCTTAGCCGCATCGCAGGTTGAATAGATAACTTAACCTAACAACAATAATAGAGAAACTATTAAAATTAATAAACAATAATGTGTTATGTTACAGTTTCATTTTAACGTATATTTATCACTTACATGAACTGCTTCTCAATGAAATATATTGTGATACAAATATAAACACAGGAATATTATAATAACTGAACATAACAGCGTGAGTATAATGGTTTAAAGCTTTCTTAATACGATCGCTGTTTCTCAATAGATGAAAAGGAGTTTTTCATTCCCAATACTCGGCGCGGCAAAATCTTCGCGCCTTTTTTTCTGAACTATATTCAAAACAAGTGTAGGCTGTTCTTTAAATATTGTTCCAACAAAAGAGGACTAAATAGTTACCATTATAAAACTATGAATACATATACGAAATGTAAAACAAAAATAACTTAAACAAATGCGAAAATAGAAGAGCGGCACTCGTACATTATTGATTACTACACAGTTACTTCGTAAAGTACTTTGTTCATAACTTTTATACTAATAATTTATGTAAACACTGAACTGACAAAATGACTGAGATGTTAGCTTGATTCGCATTTAAATCAAAATTACATGATGGATTTCACTGTAGAACACAAAGCTAAACAAATGTCAAAATGGCGGACTCTATTTTCAGCTTGATTTATTTTGACTGTAGATGGCACTTTAGATCTGCGCATGCGTTTTGAAATCGTGAGAAAAGTCAATAGAGCTAAATAATATCTCATATACTTAAATTATGACGTTATTTTAAAAAAAAATCTTAAATATTATAAACAATGTTCAATAGAATACCGTCGTGTTTTAAATTATCAAAAATGCCAGAATTTATCATTTCAATATATTTATTCAGTCCTTAAATAAAAAAATCATCACAGAGTTATAACAATCAATGGATTGTGGGTGTTTTATTAAGGTTTAAAAATCAAAAATGTTTTATTACAGATGACGCATGTCTATACTGTACAGCGTTTAAAAATCTTTAAGTACAATTGGACCAAACTTAAATTACACCAATTGCCGTAATTTGAATGCTACAGTTTCGGTGCGCTAGTATTATATCTACCACGTATTTATAGTTATATAATAACCACGGAATAGGGATATTCGATATACATCGAATTCCTGATTTACTCGATTTATCGATGTATTTTCATAAAACATCGAATCATTGATAACTAGCTAAAAATTTGTTTTTTTTTTATTATAACAAGAAAATTCTCATACATTACCTTTTTAATAAGATTTCCCACAAAATAGTTTTTGTTTTCAGAATTCATATAAATATGTATCAATTTGAGTGCCTTTATTTATGTTTGTTTAATTATGATACCCACGTAGTTCTATTATATTGTAAACTGATCGATTTTAAAAAGAGCAACTGTTGAATTTCTAATTGATTTCTTCTCAACAGAAACTGCTTACGGAACCTGTGGTAACTTACTTACGAACATATTAATTTTTATGTAAAATTTCGGCGTTTCATAGGAACATGCAAGCGTCTATGTGAATAAAGATATTTTGAATATGCAATATATCGTTAGAATATTTTCATAATTTCCGAGTAATATAGGCAAGAAAGCATTCACTAAAAGGGTCAACATAAAAAAATATATAAAATACGACTCCCATGTAAAAACGAACGAATCATCGCAGTCGAGGGAAATCAAAATAAGAAAGTATTCTACAAAAAAAGGGCTACCCTGCGATGAATAAAAAATGTGAGAAAATATTATATTACAACTTGTTGGTTAACTTTTTAATTCATTTTTGACATGGCAGTAGTGTTTTCGAATAGTTTTTTTTTTAAATCTTTGATAAAAATAAAATGTAGTCTTTTTTTAGGGTTCCATACCTTAAAAGGTAAAAAAAGGAACCCTTATAAGATCACTCTCTTGTCTGTCCGTGTGTCACCAGCGACTTAGTCTGGAAGAGGTGGACCTACCAAGTTGATGATTATACCAGATACTGAAGTCTACAGTCCCTATGAGTTGTATAAAAATCAAGGTCCAGGGTCAACGTGATAAAAAGATATGGGCAAATTTAGATTTTCGCGAAAACTTGTAAGTACCAAAACATACCTTAATTTACAACTTTCTTCATTTTTCGGAATTTTTACTTTACTTGTGCTGGAAGAGCTTGCTTTTTGCCAAATTTCGTCGTTATTTTATTATTATTTTCCCTTAATTAATTAATTAATTCACCAGACACACATTTATCTAGAGCAAAAAACGTCTGGAATCTCATAGTTCACACACTTGTAACTAAAATATCGATAAATTTTATTTAATCACGCACTCTAGCAACTAACTAAAAATACTAACTTTGTGTAATTAATGTGCGGGAAGTCGATGGATGCAGGTGGCTCAGGATCGTGCTTCATGGCAGTCTGTGGGGGAGGCTTATGTTCAGCAGTGGACTCAAACAGGCTGAAATGATGATGATGATGATGACTAACTTTGTGTGAAGTAGAGATAGGCAATTATTGTCTTTAACTCCCAAAAGATAAGAACGTTTATGGGTGCATATTACGTTCGTGACATCTAGTGTCAAGTGGCAGTACTCGCGTGATATTTTTTTCTTGTAAGAATTTAAAACGAAGAATGTCATTTTGTACGTCATTTATGAAATTAAATCTTAACTTCAAGTTTTAAGAGGTTTAGGAGGAAATTTAAGTTTAAATAAGTTAAATACTGAATGCCAATAGCAGCTAGGATGCATTTATAGTTCAAAATACGACACAAGTATTACTTGTGTGAGATTGTCGACAGCGGATCCGGAATTGGAGAACTGCGAGGTCTGTGAGAACCACTTCCACTGTTTTCTCTATTCCGTGAATCTGGAATATCAAATACGGCAACTCTGTGTTGATATGATGGCAACACTCATAGACATATAATACATATATAATGAAACACTGTTCACGAGGCTTGGGCGTTGGGGGTAATTTTTGTCATCGATGCCAGATCGTTGTTTCCCAGACAACATCCCGGTCAACAATCACGGCACGGATGGTGCTATCATAGTTAGTTACTTTTTACCGTTGGCATTTATATAGACAAACGTTGTTCTTAAAGTAAAAACTATGTTGTTAAAACAAATGGAATAAAAATTAGACCAGTCGGTATTGTTTATTCGGGTTGACGAAAAATGAGAGGAAGAGGAAATTTAAAATTAAAAAATATTATTTCATTTTTTACAAATTGGGGGGTGATGAGCTGAGTCCTTCAAAACCTACACAGCCAACAAAACATTACATACAAAAATGTGTATTTTCGCGTCATTTTACATTTGAGATGGCTTGCTCATTCGTGAAGTAGGCTTAACAGGTTCATTTATACCACTAGCGACCTTAGCAAGCGACCAAGGCAACGATCGTGTATCGCTCGATGTCGGTGATCAACGACAACGAACAACGACCGGCAGTATTCGTCAATGTACGTTACCAATTCAGATGTCGATGTCGGTGACATCCGATGTAGACATTTCACCAACGGATGCCAACATCGCAAACTCACATCGGATGTCAACATCGTTGTTAGAAAAATGACCATCTCTTCTGTTCACTGGCAACACTGTTTAACAATGACAATATGGCATAGTGACACTGACAGCTATTTATGAAATGAAGATGAAGTTTAAATTAAAAAGAAAGAAGAATCTAACGGTCGGTTCAGTAATTTCAATTTGACTACTTTGGCATTAGAGTACAGTTCCAGTCCAGTATATATGTATTTTTATGGTACATTATAACAAAGAAGCATATGTGAAATATATTGCAAAAGGGATTTTTGTTTGACTAAAAATATGTCTAGTGCGTCGGTTTCATCTTCCAAGCCAGAGGTAAACAATCTTATTTACACTTTAATTCCTTTACTTGTCGCTTGAAATCTTATAATTTTGATATAATATTGGGTATTAGTTTCTTTAAGTTTCCGGGTGTTTTTCGACGTAAAAAAAATGTAATTAGGTACAGAAAAATCATTAATAAAATACTCACCAAGCAGAATTTAGCGGTCGCTTAGTTTTCGAGAAAATAAATTATTTAAAACGTAATTTTCACTAAGAAAGTTCACCATTTTTACCGCCAACATGAAAAATATAGGAAGTGGGCGAAGATTAATTTTCTTTTAATTTTAAGAGTGACAGATCCGACACAGAGCGATCCGACTCGGATAGGTTAGGTTAGAAGTTTCCATGTTAGGTTTAAGCCTTCGATGTTAGGTTTTTTTTTATGACCACCCAGAAAACTTTAGTGTAACAGTACTTTTAGTATTTTTAAAGACTCTTTTTTAATAATGCGAAGGTTATAATTTGGAAAAGTGTGTGAATTCGTAAATTTATACATGTTGTCAAACACAAAATGGCGGATTAATTTAGTGAAAATAAGTTTTACATATATTTTTTTTGTCGAAAACTATAAGCGACCGCCAAATTCTGATTGTTGATTATTTCATTAGTGATTTTTCTTAACCGAATAAACTTTTTGTTTGGTCGAAAACACCCGGAAACTTAAGGAAATTTTTACCTAATATTGACTGTTGTTTTACATCTTAACTTACAGAAAGTAACGGAATTAATGCAGGAGGTCAAGTCTGTGCGAGCGATGAATGCAAGTCTACGTGCATATTTGGAGCATTTGCGAATGTTTAAAAAGAACCTTGTCGCTGTAAATGAAAATTGTAAAGAACTTCGTAAAGTTAACTTAGAATGGAACGAAATTTTAAGTAGTATGAAGTAATATAAGTTACTAAATAAATGATAAATATATTGATGATTTTTATGTAATTATCGTTAATTGCCTGTAGGCTTGATGCTTGATGCTTGATGGAACTACCTTACACAATACCATCATATCCGATATAACTATTGTGCATGTTGTGTTGAGCTGTCATTTTTCAAATTTTAATTGTGTATATGTATTTGTTCTTACAAAGTTTGATATAATGTAATGTAAAATCCAATATATTTTTTAAAATAAAATAAAACTCAATATTGTTTATTACATATCAAAAGTTCTTTGCTTAAATCACTATACTAATAAATTATTTTTGTAATTTTATGCTGTGATATATTACAATTTTATACATGACAAGGTGATTTATAAACAACATAATAATTGATATTGACATTTAATTTAAACCATAATGAATAAAAAAAGTTAAATACATACATACTATAATTATGCTACATTACAATCACAGATTTAGGAAGGTTATTGGAAGACTTTTTAATTTATAGCTTAATAATAAGATAAATGTGTCATCTAAGGTTCAATTCCATGTTGTCCTGAAGGAATTTCACTAGCTTCTATGGCATTTTCCATGGGCTTATGACCTGTTTTCTCTGTAAAGAATTTGATTCTTTGTCACAAGGGTTTTAGACTTTATAAAATTTAATTGTTGCCATACAGTTTGTTTAAAAACAAACTCGAATTTGATTGGCAAGCAGTGAATGCAAATAAAACATGGAAGCATTATTATCACTCCAAAATGGCATTACCTATACAAACTATACTGTGATGGGCGGGGCTTATAAACTTTACCACAAGGTGGTTTTAGTAAAGTCCTGTCCAGCGATGCTCTTATGCCATATGTATTAATTTAATAAAAGATGTTCAATGTTATAATTTTAATTTATAAATTTGGTAACTTACTTTACCCTTGATATTTTTATTTTAAATTTGAATTTATAAAGAACTCAAATTTAATTTCAATAATTTAATGTGTGGAAGGTATGGAAACCTCATTATGATGATGATTATGTAAGGATTTCTTTTAGTTTATTCATTGTGAATCTATGCCCCAGAAAGGAGTTGAATGGCGCGTTAAACAATTTATAATTATTTCCATGTTGTATTTGCCTTACTTATTCATTTGTTGTGTTACTTTTACACTTTATATCCAATATATTTTAAATTTTCAGCATACTTCTAAATGCTTAACTTCAATAAAGATTTTATATGAAACATTGTTCTCTGATCTATTTTGTTTTTATGCTCTTATCTTGTATATATAATTATATTGTATTGCATACCAATTATACAAATGGAGTATTGGGGTGTGTCACATGACATTCCATACACCAATCCATTTAAATGATCCTGACGGTCAAGATTCAAGCAGGGATTATCCATTGAGAATTCTTCATCTAGCCACGGAGGCATCTGAGGAGTTCCAGTTGGGAAATGAATGCAGTAGCAAGTGATATAGTGTTATTTTTAAAAATAGAAATAAGCAAAACGATATTTAAAATTGTTTGTATGCTGTAAAGAATATAACAATAGATGCACCAAGCATTGCTAAAAATGTGACATAAAAATTGAAGATAAAATACGTTGAGATTTTCGTCGATGTGGCAATCAAACGATTAGCTTAGTGGTTAAAGCGTTTGGGTGCGAATCCGGAAGATGGGGTTCGATTGCCGCAGCGGAAAAAAAATTTGTTAATTTTTTTCTACAAAAAAATGTTTCACCTTAAGTCTTAAGTGCAGAGATTGCCACTATAAAAAATAATTTTCAAATGGCAATGGCGACACCTGTCATTCAATAAGAAAGTTTATACTTCTTTTGATTTCCTATAAAGCTGTGAACTGACCGGCGTTACGAAGCGTAACGTAAAGTTACACAGCGAGCGGGCGTCAGTACTCGTTGCTCGCTGAGAGTGCTCCTCTCCGCTGTCGGTTCTTTGGCGAAAGTACGTTGCAGCGATACGTTGTTAGTACGTCCACCTTTAAAGGTGGGTACTGACCGGCGTTACGAAGCGTAATGTAGCAATCTCAGCGAGCCGTGGCTCGGACGGATTCTTGATTTTACTTTTGTTATTGTTTAGTCCAAATTCAGAAGATACTGAACTTGGCAAAACCACTTGCAACATGATTCACACGTGCTGACCACACCTAACTGGGATCAGGGCAGGAGGATGATGATGAGATGACGAGTTCTTCGAAATCATTGGAAAACATGTTCGCAAAGTCTGTATTGTTGAGTTATCGTTTGATTTTTAACGCCGCTATTAATTAAAACCCCCCAGATACGTTTCTGTTTATAAACAAGTTTGATAATCTCTAGAGCATAGGCAAGCGGTTCTAAATATTTTTCTTTAAAAACACTGGCCTCACTTTGGGATAACATTATCCTGTGTTGTAAGGACGTTTTTATACAGATGCGGAATAACTATCTGTGGGTCACACAAATAGTTGTCCCGTGTGGGAATCGAACCCACGACCCCCGACGCCGAAGCCGATACCTTGGCGACTGCGCCACGGAGTGATCTACTTTCATAGCACACGACTAAATGAGCATGTTCATAGCACACGAAATATCAAAACGTGATCGGTGCGAATGGTACACTACTGCCCGTTTTCACCATTGTACCTTCAAACGCTGCCTTAAGTAGAGTGCCCTTATCTAAGGGATTCCTGAATCACCCAGTCACCAAAATTAATTTTCACCAAATTAGGGGGGCTTAAGACTAAAGTGTTAAGAATATGGCTCCGTTCACCTAAAGGTGACACTTAAGTGTTTGGTGAAAACGAAACAAGCACTTAAGTTAGGGATCGATAGTAAAAAATGGCATACGACTTGTCGACTATGTTTGGCTGTTGAATTTTATAGTAAGCATTTCAGGAAATAAAGTTTGAGAATAAAGATTTGATATTAGAAATGATTAAATCTTACGTATATCCCATATAAGTGTTCGCCGTCAGTTTTTGGGTCGGGTAACCGTTTCCCGTTCACCGGATTCAGCCAGAGGTACGTGACCAGTTCGGTGTTGGGGTCCTTCGTCATGTTGAGGCGTCCAGACACCCATATATGTTCGACAGCTGGAATGTTCGTCGGTAATTAGATCTACGCTACCCTCTAACAGATGGCGCTGTTTGAAAATATAGATATTTAGAAACACATTTAAAAATAATTACAAAATTTATCTATTGTTAGATCAAAAACTGAATTATGTATAACATGTTATGGTAAATATGTTGGGAGTCTAAATATCCTCAAACCTCAACTTTGGGCGGTTCATTGAGTCTAGAGCCAGGGCAGATGCAAGGAAGTTAGGCGTCCTTGCAATGGTGCGACGGTACTTCAAGCCGGGACAGCTTCTTACTTTATACAAGGCTCAAGTCCGACCATGTGTGGAGTACTGTTGCCGTATCTGGGTTGGGGCTGCAAACTGCCATCTGGCTGCCTTGGACCCAAAGGAGCGGCGTGCGGAAAGGCTCATTGGTGACCATAACTTGGTTAAAACCGAACTCACTAGCCTTGAGCACAGGCGCAGTGTAGCCAGCCTCTCGGTTTTCTACAGGATGCATTTTGGACAGTGTACGTTGGAGTTGCATGATCTTATTCCTTCCGCCCCTTTCCATCATCGGACAACCAGGCGCTCGGCGGGACTCCACCCTTATGCTGTAGACGTTCCACGTAAAAGAAAAAAGCGCTTCGCTTCTTCATTTATTATCCGTACAGCTAAGGAATGGAATAACCTGCCGGCGTCCGTCTTTCCGTCCGATTACAACGTAGGCGTCTTCAAGGAACGAGTAAATAGGTTTATACTGAGCTAGCGCGCTTACCATCAACGGCTGCATCGCCACTTACCATCAGGTGAGATGGCAGTCAAGTGCTGGCCAGTTTTGAATTAAAAAAAAAATATTTGTGTCCTAAAAATTTTTTTATGTTATATTTCATAATTGTATTAGTTTTGTATTGCTTCCTCTTTATTTCTTTTTTTAAATTGTTTTGTTTGTATTTTTATTTCATCTTTTATATTCATGTCATGTCTCCGAGTGTAAATCCTTGGTACAGTTTTCTTGATATTTCTTTTCCCCGACTCGTATTATAATAGGATTCACTGAAAACCGGCACTTTGGCTTCTACCGCAGCAGGAGCCGAGTGAAATGTCAGTCTGTCTGTATGTTTGTCTGTCTGTCAGTCTGTCACCAAAATGTATCTCATGAACCGTGATAGTTGAAATTTTCACAGATCTATTTCCGTTGCCACTATAAAAACGAATACAAAAAACAAATAAAAAAATTAAGTGAGGCTCACATACAACAGACATGCTTTCTTTGCCGTTTTTATAGATAATGTCACGGAAGCAAAGCCCGACTCGCACTTGGCTGGTTTTTTCTGACAAATTGTGTACTTACGCTCGTCTTTGTTTTCACCCATCACCAGCAGCAGTTGTGTAAGCATGTCGCGACTCTCCACGCTGGCCAGTGTGCCGTTCATCCTGAGGCAGTTCTCGTACGCGTGCTGCCAGTAGAACAGCTGCCTTACCAATACGTAGTAGTAATTGTCGTCGCTGGGTATCGCGACAGTCCGCCCCATGCCGGGGACACCTGGAACATCGGCAGTGCTTTTAGCTGGGCTGATTGTTATTATTGCACCTCCCTGAATTTGTCTCCACGTCCCGGGTTGACTGGGAGAGAATGCCAAAAGGTATTATGTAATCAGTGTTTAAGGTATGTAATTGTAATAAAGTATAAGTAAATAAATGAACCAAAAGTAGTAGTTCCCAAAAAAAGTAAAGTGAAAGACTACTTTTAGGAGCAGATAGTTTATGAAATAAAACTCAATATTCGTTTGCTATCAATCAATGCTGAAAAAAGTGTACTTCTGTTACTTTATTATTAGAATATTGATTTTTGATACTCGGTATATGTTCCGCCAAATACAGAATATTAGCAGAATATTCTGGCGTCATCATACTGTATATGAGATTATCGCCTCTCATCTTCAATTTCTTGTAATAAAAAATATAGGACTAACTTTATAAGAGATACCGAATCTCACCTCTGTAGCAAATAAACTGCATCTTCCTCTCACACCGGCCCTCTAAGAAAACCGGATCTCTTGTGGTATGTCTGTCTAGCTGGAGGCAGCCACTTTGCTTCACAGTCGTACGATCCCTGTTATACGATACACAAATATAACACATCTATGTCTATTTTGTCTATTGCGTGTTGGATGATCGAATTTAATTTACGTTGAGGGCCACGTCCACTACTTCATATTTACGAATCGTTTACCGTATGATTCTATTATACTTCTATTTTTTATTTCCACTACCATTGTTTGTATGCAAAACAATTATAAATGCTACAGCGTGTCTGTCGGGATATGCTCAGACATCCGAAGTAAAAGACAAGGATGGATATGGTTATAAAATGTTTTAATAATTTAAACCTTACTAATGACTTAATAAATGATCAGACACTAAATCAGCAATGATATTACAGTAGGTGGATACACAATTAATATAGCTTAAACAATAGATCGAGATTTTACACGAGCCAAATAGTTGGCAAGAATACCGACTAATGGCTGAGAGGGAGGCAGAGACTCGTACTGAGACAGCAGTCCGTGCACCGAGACGCATTCGTTGGAAATGCGTGCAGACACAACGGAGCGGTCTGTTTTATACTCTGTACTAAGCGTCCGGTGCACGTGCTGCTAGCGCATAATATTGCTGTCTCTTTCCTGCACTAAATGTCAGCTACCGTCATGTCCATTGATTTGTTTTCATTTATGAAGCATGTTAGCAAGACATACGACAGGGACGTTAATCTTAGAACAAACTGGCAGGTCGCTGGAGAATAAAAGGATATGAATTTTAAACGATATGTTATTCTCTATCATCATTGTTCAAATCAACCCTTTTTAATTTAGTAGTATAGTACTGATGATTTTAGAACTGGGAAATAGAGATGGAGCTAAAATCGCTATTAAATTACTAAAATCAAAAGTCCCGAAGTACTAAACTTCAAGTGTCATATTGTAACTCTTTAATTTATACTCATTATAGCCATCTAAATTGAGCCAGTTTATTTGATGATTTCCAAAATGGTAGTTTTAAAATAAAGGCTATTGGCAATGGATTTATTTTATTTTGTAGCATTATCATTTCGTATACAGTGCTATTGTAGTATTACTTATTTTAAGAGGTATAATACATATAACTTTCCTGTAATAATTACTTTAAAATAATTTAAAAGAAATTCTACCAAAAAACTTGGTAGTTATCTTACTGTTGAGCCTGCTTGATTGAAATTTCAAATTAAAAATATAACTGTCGTGGTCGCCGAATTCGCCGTACCTCGCCTCGTAGTCCTTTCCTTATTTTATTTTCCTTCTTTTTGCATTGTTCTAGTGCTCCTCGCCCTATTACTCAGTGTCTGTGGATTTATTTTCCTTCATCCCACAGGTACGTGCTGTTGAGTTGAGATCCCTCCTCCGGTACGTGCTTTAGTGTAATCCTTTTGTTTTGTTCCCGAACGTTTTTTGTGTTGGAGAAATTGACTCGTTGTTTGTGAGAAATTGACTTGTTTGTGAGATAGGACTCTTTTTGTGAGATAGGACTCTTACTTGTGAGACACGACTTTGATTACAATATGGCTTCAGATAAAAAATGTTGTGTACCTGGATGCCTGGAAACCGGTGGTAAGTAAATACAGCATTATATCTGCTACTTGGCACTTACGATGGACTTGAGTCTGGAAAAACAATCGTTAAAAGTAAATATAACCATTGTCTCTTTCTATTTTATTGCTTTAGAATGTAATTATGTAAATCTTCAGCCGAAAGGTGAAACAATATTGTTCTATACAACTCATAGTGTTTAACCTATAAAACTGAAAAAAATAATTTCTCGAAAACTAAATTTCCGCAGAAAGTCGTACGGGGTGTTACTTCAATGGCCTTACTACTTACTTATTAAAATTATAAAGAAAATCTTACAAGTATTTACTGAGATATCTTGAAACAAACTCATCTTCTGTTTCAGAAACACTTCATGCTTTCCCAAACCCATTAAAGGATCTTGAGCGCTTTAAAGCCTGGTATACATTGATTGGTGGACCAAATTTGCTTGGCTTAACAAATGATCATATTTACAAGTATCGACGTGTGTGCCATGCACATTTTGAGAAAGGGTTTTGTTGTCGATACAATAGAATATCAAAAATTGCAATTCCCACCTTAAAAATGCCAGGTAAGCAATTCTTTTATTTTGATGTAAGAAGGTACTGATACTTAAAGTTAGTAGGTACCTCAGACGTGTGGTAGGTACTAATTACCTCAAGCAATTAATTTCAACACAAGGTTGTCTTGGCAATGAGTAGAGTAAAAATAGAAGTACCCTCAATTTCTCTCTTACAAAAGTTGGCAAATATGATCTATTGGCTAAGCTCATGTACTAGATATTATTGCGTTAGGCCTAAAATTTTGAACATTATTCTAATATTTAGTTTCAGACCCAAAACTACATTCAAGGAGTTGTTCAATACAACAATCCATCGAAAGTTCCTTTCGAAGTGCACCATCTACCTCAAAAGGTAATATTTTTATTTTATTTTATTTAAAATGATAGATATTAGTGATGTAAGAAATGTCCAATTTCCTACATTCGTGAATGCGAAAATCGGATTTGGGAACGAAAATTTGGAAGGAATTTGGAAGCGAAACATTATGGACACCTTAAGAAATTCCTGCCTTAACGTCTCAATACAATAACGGATCTTTATGCGGTTTTTTTTTTACTAGATAGAGTGATTCAAGAGGATGGTTCATATGTGTAATACATTGCACCCGTGCGAAGCCGGGACCGGTTGCTAGTTTTTTATAATAGTATATTTTATCAACATGTGGATCTTAACTTGAAATTTTTATACTGTTTCCTTGAGCATGACTGTATTTCAATATAATTAATAATTATAATTTTAAAGCTCTCATTAGTTTGATGAACTTTTTAAATGTTTGATGAGATCATAGTATGCATGCAAACAAGTGCTGGTATAAAATAGTATTACACAATTTTTCAGATTTGGCCTTACAATCAATACCTACTGGTTCAAATAGACAACCAATGCAATCAATAGAAAATGTATTGCAAAATGTATCTTCAACCATAAAATGTAAGTTTATTATGTATAATTCTTCCTCTTGTTCATACTTTCAGGATAGATTTGTTTCTTTAGTTTTCTTTATTACATAGCCAAAGGACTCATTTAACTTCACCTTAGCCTTAAACAGGAATCGATAACAGGGTCTCTGGTTGTGGATTACCAGGATTTTGAAAACTTGTTGTACACACCACCCACAGTCATGTACTAGATATTATCGCGTTAGGCCTAAAATTTTGACCATTATTCTAATATTTAGTTTCAGACCCAAAACTACATTCAAGGAGGTGTTCAGTACAACAATCCATCGAAAGTACCTTTAGAAGTGCACCATCTACCTCAAAAGGTAATATTTTAATTTAATTTAAAATGATAGATATTAGTGATGTAGGAAATGTCCAATTTGCGACATTCGTGAATACGATAATCGGATTTATAAATTTATATTATAAATATGGCACCAAAAGTATGTAATGTGCATTAATTTAGATACAATTAAATCAAATTTAATTTTCTGTAATGTCAAAATACTATCTATATATATATATATATATATATATATATATATATGTATTGGTTAATTCGAGGGTAATATTGAGCAAAGGTAGTTTGATTACATGAGTTTGTTTGCAACCTTGTCTGTGCAAAACTATTGTATCAGTACAGATTTTATCTTATATGTTTTCATTTTACAATGTATAAACATACGTGTAAAAACAAGTAATTAATAATTTCTTTTATAGAATGTACGAGGACGAAAAGAAGAATATATAAAGCCACAACTTTTAGAAGACAAGATCCTTCGTAAAACTGTTGCTGCGGCAAGAATAAAGTTGAGCAAATATAAAAATATTATTGATAAACAAGCTGCATCAATTAAAGCTACAAAAAATATATTAACAAATCAAAAAGATCTTAAAGCCCATGGACAACCTGCCAAATTCCGGTAAAATACTCACAATGTTGCAGTTTCGTGAAAACAAAAAGAAGAACAAAGGAAGAAGATTTACATACAGTGAAAAAATTATTGCCTTGTCCTTATTAAAAAGAAGTCCGAAAGGGTACCGCCTATTTAGAAATATGTTTATACTTCCGGGCCCCTCAAACCTTGATTAAACTAAGTAACAACGCAAATATTCAACCTGGAGTAAACCCCATCATATTTTCTCAATTAAAACAGCAAGTACAGAAAATGAAGGCGAGTGAAAAATTATGTATTCTGTTATTTGACGAAATGGCTTTGAAAGCAAATTTAACATACAATGAAAGAACGGATAAAGTTATTGGGTTCGTAAATAATGGTTTCGAAGCACATGAACAGTTTGCAGATCATGCACAAGTTTTTATGGTAAGAGGCTTATTAAAAAATTACAAGCAGCCAGTCGGGTATACATTTTCAGCGTCAGCCACAAAGGGGCCGGAATTAGCTAAACTAATCAAGATATTTATCCGGGAGTTAACAAAGGTTGGATTAACTGTTGTTGCAACAGTTTGTGATCAAGGCTCAGGAAATAGAAACGCCATTAAGTGCTTGACGGAAGAATCGCGAGTTGACTTTCTCAGAAGAGGAGAGGAGCCCAAGCAAGGTTTAATTTTCATAGACAATTTAAAAATTGTGCCCATTTTTGATCCACCCCATCTAATTAAATGTGTGCGAAATAATTTAATTACCAAAGATTTAAAATACACAGCTAATAATACCACAAAAAATAGCAAAGTGGCAACACCTGGAGCTCTTATATAAAGAAAATCCAGCCTATCAAGGGATCAGGCTTATGCCCAAACTTACAGAGAACCATATAAAGCCTTCACAAATAAATAAAATGAAAGTAAAATATGCGACTCAAATTTTTAGTCAAACTATAGCTGCAAATATGGGCTATTTATCAGGTAAAATTACGAGTACTTAAAATGTATAAATGTTATGTATTGTTGTAACCTTTTATGCCATATTTATATCCAATTATGTTATATTCTTTCAGATAAAGGTGTAATCCCGTCAGAGTGCAAGGAAACGGCTGATTTGTTATTATTCTTTGATAATATTTTTGATTCATTAAATGGGAGTTTCGAGAAAAAACATTTACATGCGAAGCCTGCACTTGGACCGGTAACCCCCAAATCGATACACCGAAAAATTTGGAGAAATGCAAGAAAGATTATAAAGACAATGAATTTTATAAACAAAGGAAAAATTGAAAATGTCCCTACCTTACAAAACTGGATATGGACACTAGATGGGATAGAAACACTTGTAAATGAACTTGAAAAGAAGCATGGAGTGAGCTCAGTTTGGATGCGGCACCTAAATCAGGATCCTTTAGAAAATTTTTTTGGTTCCATTAGGAGTCATGGGTGCCGCAATACGAACCCCACTCCTAAAAGGTTTCAATCAGCATTTGCGACATTATTAATTAATAGCCTGTCTAGTGTCCATGCCCCCGGAAATAATTGTGAAAATGATTTTGCTACAGCATTACACGCCCTCGTGATCAATGAGGACTGCAAAGCCAGTAATGACATGGATGTTGATTTATTGGATTTCAATGAAATTAATGTGATATCAATCGAACAAAAAACATCTAATCCGGTTATCAGAGCGGGACTAGAATACTGCAGCGGTTATTTCGCGAAAAAAATTAAAGATAAGATATTTAAAAATTGCCAATTGTGCAAAATTTCTTTTATTAATGAAAGTGAATCAGAATATATAAAATATCGTGAATTCCAAAAAAAACAATGGCTTTGCAGTCCATCAAAAGAATTATTGCTTGTTGTAAGTGAAATGCAGGACATTATTTATGAGGTTTTAATGAAAAAAATATCATCTCCAATGATTAAAGAATTAATAAAAACAATAATATTGATGTATGTAGATTTTAATTTTATTAATTGTGATTTACATAAAGAAAAGAACATTGAATTTATTGTTAATTTTGTGAGTAGATTTTTCATTTACAACTATTGTAAAAACATTAATAAAATATTGTGTGGTAGACGAAAAAATAGATGATCAAGAAGACGTTTTGCAAGTCAAAGCGCAAAATCATTTTAACAAATGTTTTAAAAGGAAAAATACAAAATATTTTTAAAACAAAATTTTTCTAGGTACTGAAAACAAAGAAGTAATTAAGTTTATATTTAAAGCTTGTTGCATCAAAATTAGAAAAAAGGAAATACAAACGTAAGTTGGTTCTAAAGTAGTCCTGTGGCTGGCAGTAGCAGGATCGTTGTCTACAAACAAGTAGACTATGTCATCGGCATATGTGGCCATGGTGATATTATTATCAACCGGTAAGTTAGATGTAAATATATTATAAAGTACCGGGGCAAGAACCAATCCTTGGTGACAATGAATCTGCAACCCTCGGGTGTAGCAGATTTCAATGGACGGCGGTATTCACCTCACATCAGGTGAACCGCCAGCTCACTTGGCAACTTATCACATAACAAAACAGCCATTATTTCATGAAGGCTGGATCGCGTTTCTCCTTGTTTGATTAGGAAGGATCGATCAAAGAGGTAAGATACCACAAGCCTTAACATGGAATGTGTTAACATGGACATTCTTAAAATTGCATTGAATTTTATTAAAGACACATGATACTCTTTCTGGTCAGATTCTTTAGTATGGGGTAAAGCTTGTTTTTAAAAATATTTTGTATTTTATTTCCTATTATAATATGTTATATTCACGATATTTTATATATTCTGATTCACTTTCATTAATAAAAGAAATTTTGCACAATTGAAAATTTTTAAATATCTTATCTTTAATTTTTTTCGCTAAATAACCGCTGCAGTATTCTAGTCCCGCTCTGATAAACGGATTAGATGTTTTTTGTTCGATTGATATCACATTAATTTCATTGAAATCCAATAAATCAACATCCATGTCATTACTGGCTTTGCAGTCCTCATTGATCACGAGGGCGTGTAATGCTGTAGCAAAATCATTTTCACAATTATTTCCGGGGGCATGGACACTAGACAGGCTATTAATTAATAATGTCGCAAATGCTGATTGAAACCTTTCAGGAGTGGGGTTCATATTGCGGCACCCATGACTCCTAATGGAACCAAAAAAATTTTCTAAAGGATCCTGATTTAGGTGCCGCATCCAAACTGAGCTCACTCCATGCTTCTTTTCAAGTTCATTTACAAGTGTTTCTATCCCATCTAGTGTCCATATCCAGTTTTGTAAGGTAGGGACATTTTCAATTTTTCCTTTGTTTATAAAATTCATTGTCTTTATAATCTTTCTTGCATTTCTCCAAATGTTTCGGTGTATCGATTTGGGGGTTACCAGTCAAAGTGCATGTAAATGTTATTTCTCGAAACTCCCATTTAATGAATCAAAAATATTATCAAAGAATAATAACAAATCAGCAGTTTCCTTGCACTCTGACGGGATTACACCTTTATCTGAAAGAATATAACATAATTGGATATAAATATGGCATAAAAGGTTACAACAATACATAACATTTATACATTTTAAGTACTCGTAATTTTACCTGATAAATAGCCCATATTTGCAGCTATAGTTTGACTAAAAAATTTGAGTCGCATATTTTACTTTCATTTTATTTATTTGTGAAGGCTTTATATGGTTCTCTGTAAGTTTGGGCATAAGCCTGATCCCTTGATAGGCTGGATTTTCTTTATATAAGAGCTCCAGGTGTTGCCACTTTGCTATTTTTGTTGTATTATTAGCTGTGTATTTTAAACCTTTGGTAATTAAATTATTTCGCACACATTTAATTAGATGGGGTGGATCAAAAATGGGCACAATTTTTAAATTGTCTATGAAAATTAAACCTTGCTTGGGCTCCTCTCCTCTTCTGAGAAAGTCAACTCGCGATTCTTCCGTCAAGCACTTAATGGCGTTTCTATTTCCTGAGCCTTGATCACAAACTGTTGCAACAACAGTTAATCCAACCTTTGTTAACTCCCGGATAAATATCTTGATTAGTTTAGCTAATTCCGGCACCTTTGTGGCTGACGCTGAAAATGTATACCCGACTGGCTGCTTGTAATTTTTAACAAGCCTCTTACCATAAAAACTTGTGCATGATCTGGAAACTGTTCATGTGTATCGAAACCATTATTTACGAACCCAATAATTTTATCCGTTCTTTCATTGTATGTTAAATTTGCTTTCAAAGCCATTTCGTCAAATAACAGAATACATAATTTTTTCCTCGCCTTCATTTTCTGTACTTGCTGTTTTAATTGAGAAAATATGATAGGGTTTACTCCAGGTTGAATATTTGCGTTGTTAAATAGTATAATAATTAATAATAAATAATTGCGTTGTTAAATAGTATAATAATTAATAATAAATAATTGCGTTGTTAAATAGTATAATAAGTAATAATAATTAATCAAGGTTTGAGGGGTCGGTAGTATATACATATTTCTAAATAGGCATAGGTACCCTTTAGGACTTCGTTTTAATAAGGACAAGTTTCACTGTATGTAAATCGTCTTCCTTTGTTCTTCTTTTTGATTTCACGAAACTGCAACACTGTATTTTACCCGAATTTGGCAGGTTGTCCAGGGCTTTAAGAACTTTTTGGTTGGTTATCAACGTTTTAGGAGCTGGAAGTACAATAAATAACTATTTTTTTATTATTAAAATATGTTTACTCATAAATAAAACATATTATATTTTTATATTTGCTCAGCTTAATTACAAATAAAATAAAACCTTTGTACATATTTGTATTGCATATGTAACATAATTGCCGACATGATCTGATGAGGGAGCTAGAAATTATGACGGTAGCTGTGTTATACCTAGCTTAATTTGTTAGTTCTTGTTTATATAGATTTATTGAATTGTTCTTAATGAAATGTTTGATCAAACATATTTGCCGACGTGATCTGATGATGGAGCTAGAAATGATGAGGGTGTGAACTTGTTGGATTGGTTATCATACGGGTTATCATAAAAAGAATATTTTTAAAAACAAGCTGTGTCCTCAGGCGCTGGGTTTGGTGGAAAAAATTTCATCCAAGCTAATCTAAGCATTAGGGTTAGGACCGAGGGGCTGGTAGCTTTTAGCTGAAAGCTTTGAATAGGTTTTAATTTAGGTTAAGTTTTGTTTTATTTTAAATAATTTTATGTTAATGTTTGTAAATAAATTATTTAACTTTATAAGTACCAAAATGTCATGTAGAGCTTGACGGGAGATTTAAGAAAAGGTAAAACCAATGCGGACAAAAGTGTTCATAATAACTTTGTAAAGTAGCAATCGAATTATAAAGTTTCGAAGTATGATTATAGTACCAATAAAGAAGTTTATATGTATTCAGAGTTTCATTTAAATTATTTCTTAGTATCTTCATCTTCTTTATTTAAATTATTAATTTCCTCTGAAAAATATAAATAAATAAAAAAAATACTAATCAAGGTCAAGGTCAGCTGATATAATATTTTTTACAACTAGTAAATATAGATGGCGCTAGCTTTAATAGTTACCCAAAAAAACCACTGAGTTAAGCCTCTATTTCCCTATATACAAAAGTACTCTGTGGACATACGAGCTTATGGGCTGGAAGGCGATTAATATTGCTTTTATCCCGGCAAAATGCAGCTTTTCGTCTAGAACGTATTCATTGGGTGTTTTTTTTTAATGCGAAAAGTTGCCAAGCGAGCAGACGGTTCACCTGATGTTAAGTGAATACCGCCGCTCATAGACATTTGCTAAACCCGAGGGTTGCAGATGCGTCGACAACCTTTTGAAAATTGGGCTGTAAATATTCAAGCCACTGATCAGCAGGCAAAATCTGAATGATATGAAATTATGATATAATATAATATAGCTATAGTTGAAAGTGTAAATTGTTTAAATTTTAAATAGGATGAAAAGAAGCCAAATGTCACTTTAAATACGTTCTTTCCAGTATTCACTGTAGTCACTATGATTAATTGATCGATACGATGGCGAAATTGGGCATTCTGTCAGATTAATTATTTTCTCTCCACCTAAGTAGGAATAGAGTGGTAATATGTTTTTGAGAACGACCTACCGCATTGGCGGCCACATCTTCGATTGTACGTCAGCGAAGGTAGGCGCCTGGAAGATGCTGATGCCGGAGTCTATCCAGGTCCATTGACCAAGAGAGCCCTTCGCCCCCACCCAAGCACTCTCGATACCTGCGGGCTTAACAGTTTAATGTTTGCGGAAAAATTTAACTTATATACAGCGTGTCGTTACCATAGCGACAATTAATGAACACACGTCTAACGCTACATGCCAATAATCATAAAAATATATTAAAGTGAAACAAAATCCATAATTAAAAAAAATATTTTTCAAACAAACTAATTAGGTAAAAAAGAAACAAAATTTGTAACACCTATACAACTCGCGCCACAGCGTCGTATTACAAGCCTCTCCTTCTAACAGTATGTTTTGTCTCTTTTAAATTCATTCAACCCATTCATATGCTTTGTGACCTCTACAAATGAACTTTACGTTACGCTTTTATAGATGAGGGTGTACTAAAATTCTTTGTTTTGGAAAATTTAATAACTCGGTAAATATTGATGTTTAAAGAATTTAAATGTTTAATACAACTTAAAAAAGTTATCCCCTATATGTGTGTTCATTTATTGTCGCGATGGTAACGACACGCTGTATATCATATAATGTAAAGCGGAAAAATTGTTCTGCATTACTTTCTATGACATATATAAGTGAATGTGACAGATGATATGGAACGTATGATATGGAAAGAGAAAGCAGTCTATAGAATTGCAATCAAATTACACCAATTAGCGTATTTTAGCGCCTCAGTTTCCTTGTGCTAGTGTCACCTCATATAATATGTATATAACATCATTGATTGTAGTACTAATTTTAGATTTTGAAAGTCTAATACATCTTTATATAAGTGAACTTACTTGGCCTGGATTTCAGCATAGTTAGCCCCAGCTTCCTCAAGCACCGCATAGTTCCGATGTTAGCTAAACTGTCAATCAGAACATACATGTGGAGTTCATTGTCAAAAATATTGATTAGTTTCATTATGGCATGTTTTTGGAATGTGCCCTTGGAATGTAGATCACAGTTATTTGAAGAGAAGTTTCAGGCGGTCATTGAGTCCAGATCAACATTGGCTCCTGGCTCGATAAACTCCCGCAAGGCAGTGGGTAGTAGGCATAAAGTGCTATGTTGTACATCACGGCCTAAGGCATCAGTTCAATTCCAATTATGAGTTGAGTGCTCTTGTTATATTTGGACCGTTAGGAGCAGGTGTATAAGAGCATCATCCTACCGGTACTTCTGTGTGGAAGCGAGTGTTGGCCAGCACTATCTTGGCACACTCAAGAGCTTCACGTCACGGTGATGAAGATGCTAAGAAGGATGTGCGGCGTCACGCGGGTTGTAACACATTCATCCCAGGCAATCTCGGGGTCCGTGACGTAGCGGATATGCTCCAAGAGCAGGTATGGCCATGTCGCACGCCGATCGGAAAAATGTGTCGGAAGGATATGCCTTGCCAAGGAAGCGATGGACGTTGTGAAGCAGGACATGAGAGCCAATGGACTGACCCATGAGGATGTCGAAGATCGCACAAAGTGGAGGAGATGAAGTACGAAAGCAGACCCTGGCAAATGTTGGGAAAAATGCTAGGTAGAAGAAGAAGAGGACTACTACTTACATTTGGACTGTTACTAAATGTCATCTAGCCGCTCCGGACTCAGTGGATAGACGTGAAATATTGATGACCCGAACTTGTGGCCAAATTGGCCACAAGGCATAGTTTCACTCAAACGCTGAGTTACGAACTGCTGATAATGTATAGGATATATTTTGGAATCAAATGAATGGAAATTCCATGACCAATTCACCCCCACTTCCTTGTCTTGAACTGAATTTGTAGTGAATGTATATAAGCTAAACCAAGAAAAAATTTATCACCTCAGTGTAAGACGCTCGTATTTTAGTTCTGTGTAGTCGAGCAAGCCAGAAGGATAATAAACTGAGTTCGTTTTTTTATGTGAGAAGGTGGCAAGCGAGCTGACGGTTCACCTGATGTTAAGTGATAACCGCCACCGATGGACAATTACAGTTTGGTAAAGCGGGCTCGGGCTACCTCAGTCACCAAAATTCGTTAATGGAATTGATAACATTGTGTATTTTTTCCGTGACTACTCAGTTTTCTGTGTCAGCTAAATAAAACATTTAAAAAACAACGTTTCAGCCGTTTTTCTCCTCATTAATAAGATATTTAGTTTAGTGACGTCGTCTTAGGCCTACGTGTGACGTTTACCTACTTCTTCAATCCTTAATGTAAACACTTGAAATATCGATTACAAATGGCGGACATAAAACAAGGACTTATGCAACACATATATATTGTATGTAGTTATGTTATATATAGAGGCTTGTCCAAAGATCTATCCAACGAATGATCTCACGTCATTTTCTTCATCACGCAATACGCCGCCGCCTGCTCCCAGTTCAGCCGCCCATCGAACACGTGGTACAGCCCAGTCGTGCAGCGTACCGTTTTCAACTCGTGCACCGCCACTTCCAACTTCGCATCTGTCAACGATCAATAGGAAACACGGTCCCTTACAAAGATAGGTCATCTTGAATTTTACACTAACAATTTTTCATAATTCGCATTTTAACTTAGCCACAATAAATTAGCGGAATTTTACCGTCGCCTGCATATTCGCAATGCCCTCAGCAACCCGTAAGTGACATTCTTCCTTGTTCTTTCGTCATTGATTCATTCATGGATAACGCACTCATGAACACACCCAACACGGAGGGCCGTGTCGAGCTCGTGGGACCTGGCTATCTCGCGAGTTCTGCGTTATGAAGCTTTAATGGTGTACGGATTGAAAGCAAAAACATCAAAGGAAAGTAAATGAAGATGAGACTACACCCTTTACAGAGCAGCGATAACTACATAATAATTATACTACACCTAATATAACTATAACCTGATATAAAATCTACATAGAAAAGTTAAGTAAAGTAACTGCCTATATATGTCTCATTGCTGAGCAAAGGCCTCCTCAGTACATAAGGTATTAGGACATAGTCCACCAAGCGACCCCACTGAGGATTTGGGAACTATATATATCTTCTTTTTGAACTAATATGCCAGCGCGCGGGGAAATACCACAGCATCAAAGAAGACCGACGTGATGTATTTCGATAAAACGCCACGACGCGTCACGTCACCTCAAACTATTTTTGACGTTTTATTCACTACATATTTTCTACTTTGAAGAGTTCTCTGGTGTATCTCCGGAATCCGAGGTCCATTGCCAATGGCAGTTAAAGAAAACCAAACGGAGCAAGAATTTTTAAATGGCATAAATGACAGAGTTCTGAGGTAACAAAAATATTAATGTGATCATGGCTACTTGTCTCACCTCTCTCGCATACGAAGGGCCTCTCTATGAAGCAGGACAGGTCCAGGAAGATGGGCTTGTCGTGTTGGACCCTCTCTAAGGCTACGCAGTCCGCGCCTCCTTCCGGTACCGGCACATGACTGCGGTTCAGCCACTGTCAAGGAGAAAACTGGCAAATCATCTCCGATGGTTCTCGTTAGTAATAATGTTATTGATCGATGATGATCGTCAAATGTGAATTTGAAGATTATTATTAGAAAATATTAAACATCAATAAATTATATACATACAGTACATATTTTTTTGTAAAAAAAATACTTTTAAAATCAGTGCACCCACTTATAATTAATGATCACATCGATATTTAACCCAAAATAGACATAACTTTGAATTACCAACTTGTAGAACTGGTGTAGGAAAAAAAAAATATTCGATTTGTGGGAGCGCAACTATACAACAAGCTGCCTGATGAAATTAAAGGATGTAAAACCATTGCATTGTTCAAAAAACGCCAGTTAAACAAATTACTATCTGCTTAGATTTATAAATTCTGTTGTCCGTCGAGACTGTTGACACAAATCATACATATATTTAAGACTTCTTCTATATGTTTATCACGTTTTAAGTGAACTATGTAATGTTCTTTTTGTGATAAATAATTGTCTTTAACCTGAAGATACACATCGATAAAGGGCATACATTTCATATAACATTATTCCTACTTATGTTTAATTTAAAAGTTTTGAAGGTCTTTTCCCTTCAAGTCTTAATCGTTCCCTCATTAGTGAGGATCGTGACTCTATCTAGGTTTCTCATAGGTGAGTTGTCTCCATCGGTTACGTTCCTTCGCCTGGTGTAGTGCCACGTTAACTAGGATCCCCAGGTGTTCAGGAATTTGATCTGATCTTTTCTCCTTCATTTTAGTGTTACTGTAATTTAAAAAGCTTTATTTAAAAGGTTTACGAACGCATATTGCGCAAATATAATCACATTCATTTGTATTTATAAAAGAGGGATAATCATTTGTTTACACCTTTAAAATAGTGTAAGATCACCATATCATTTATAATATTGTCATTTTATTTCAAAAGTTTTCTGGGGAGAAGTGAATTTAGATTTTAAGTATCTTTTCCCTTATGTCGTCTAGTTGGGGTCGGCACAATATTTGTATCATTGCTAATGGTATTGGCTAGATTTTTTTAGATCTTGGGAACAAGTACCCAGATGCGGAACAATTATCTGTGGGTCACACAAATAGTTATCTCATGTGGGAATCGAGCCCACGACCCTTTGGTACGAACAGTTGCTTCACGAATTCGATCAGAGTTTGAGTATCTCAAGGGATTAGAAAACACTCACGAGAGGATAATGGTTTGATTTGATGTCATCCTTTTCACTCCTTAGGATGTCGACAGCAGTCCGTGTGAGTTCCACGCCATTGCTCCATCTGTAGCCTTCAGGATCGTCACTCGAATCTCTTCTTGCGCCCACCCATACTGACTCCACCTCTGTGCCGTAATCAAAATCATTACTTGATGAATATTCATTTTTTGACAGGATCAGATCTTCAAATAAAATCATCTGGAACAGTACTTAAGTCTTACAATAATTAGGCGAAAACAGTTATTAAGGAAAGTATAGTTCACAACGTGGCCATTGAGAATGGAATAGTCTTTGTAAAAGTACAAGAAAAAAAAAAGATATAGAAGTTTTAAATTAATTAAAGTAGCTAACATACTTTTGTTATAAAGTGAGAAAATTTGTTTATTTCTATACTCTATGAATATTGTATGAATAATGAAATAAATATATATTCTATGAATGTACTCTGAAATTAGACTTTACCTCTTACTATTTATTGTAAAATATTTTACGTAATTAAAATTTATATATCTTTAATTATGATGTGATGCTTGGGTGCCTCTCATCTAAGGAATACTTCGTTCAGGGCTGGGGCAGCATCAGAGGCAGCTCAAGTAAATAAATGGCGCAAATATGAGTATTTTCGTGAAGATTACGTATTTTTGATATTTGTTGTAGAAACTTTAGGTGCATGGCATTAGGCGCATCGATCATCAAAATGAAATCAAAATTCATCAAAATAAAAAAAAAATGTCCTAGTTCATTGTGGCTGGTGACAGGCCAGTTCTATTTGCTCAAGTATTAAGAATGTGTGGTAGGGTCATGTAGAAGCTTCTAAGGTTGCACGAATGGGCAGGCCCATCCGGGGAAGTACCGCCGCCTATGTGTAGATGTAAGTATACTTTCGTGTTTCGTCTGGTGAGTGAGGTACCCGGGGCCCGCTTTAAGAGGTTGTCAATTCTTCATGCGTTGCAGATGATCATGGGCGGCGGTAATCACTGATCATCAGGTCGACCACCTGCTCGCTTGACAATTTTTCACGTAAAATAATGTTCAATAACTGCATTTCATCGCTGACTATTTAAGTTCGAATATCCAGCGAGTAAATGCTTCTAGCGTTCTTACCACCACTGTGTGGGCTTGTCTTGTTCGATAACGTTTAATTTGGCTAGCAGTTAATATAGAAAATGTTTATTGTTCAGTAAACTGTATGTTATGTATTAAATAATAGAAAAAATTGTCTTTGTATACAACGAAAGAGTCAAGATGTTTTGAAAAGGTCACTCGCCTAATTGTGATTCGGAGAGCACTTCCGCCAAGAACTCAGATTTCTCCCGTGTGTCCAATACCGCCAAAATTCCACTGTAGTGACCCCTGATGATGAAAAAAAAAAATTTTTTATTGACGTTGTAGTTTGGGTTTCAATGATTTCGTGAGCATTCGTTTCGTTGGCGGTTTTGCTCTAATTTAAGTAGACATTGACTCTGACGTCGGGCCTGCCTGTATGCCTAACTGTAGACTATATTCAAAACAGATGCATTCTCCTAAATCTTTCTATAAATGCACGTAATTTTTGCCAAACTCAAACTCCAACTTGCCAACTCCTCTATATAAACTATAAGTGTAGGAAATTTCATACTACTGTCCGCTCAATTTTCGTAAAGGTGCAAAGTTTTTGCTTCACGTATTCATTATACAGATTTACTTATTTAAGGTAATTTAATAATATAACCTATATAAATAATAGAAAATAAAACATATCCATTGTCTAATTTAAATATTTACTCACCGGCATAAAATATTCGCGTTCTCCCACGTAACCGGAAAATTTTGCATCAAATACTCCTTGTCATTGAGAATATACGACTCCCAGTTATGCGAAGAATCATACGGCACTGTAATGGCATTTTAAACTTAAATGAACTTCAATATACGAATTATTATTTTTATACCCGTCATTACACTGTATAGAACGTCAATCATAACTACACTACAGAAAGCTCGATCGATAGTTGAGTAGATTTGTTTAAATGTACATCAAAATCATAACAACCTCTATACTGTTCCTTGTAACTGGCTTGACACAAATTGATTGCGATAAAAAAATGCAATAATTTAAAATTGGAACGCATTTTGTATCGTCCTAGCGCACTGTTCAACACACAACTGTTGGATATCAACGTAAGTGTACAATTATAAAGGCAAATGAGGAATTTCATAAATTTATTGTTGGAATATGATCAGCAATAGTTTATCGATTGTGAAAGAATTTCCATTCAACATACAGCATGTTACTTTTATCGCAACGGCTGGGTAGAGTACCTACAAAAGCTAAATATGACGTTAAAATGGTTTAAATCTTTAAACGGTCAAGTGCGAGTCGGACTAGCGCGCAAAGTGTTTCGTACCACTATCTATAAGAACGGCAAAAAAACATGTCTGTTGTATGGTAGACCCACATAAATGCTTTTTATTATGTTTTTTTAGCATTTGATGTTATAGCGGCAACAGAAATACATCATCTGTGAAAATTTCAACTGTACCTGTCGTGTAAGTACAGTAGTATCGAACCGTGGTTCATGAGATACAACCTGGTGACAGACGGACGGACTGACAGATAGACAGCGCAGTCTTAGTAATAGGGTGTTTTACCCTTTGGGTATGAAACTCTAAAAAGCAGTATAAAAGTAAAGTGAAGTAACAGCCTATACATGTCCCATTGCTGGGCAAAGGCCTCCTCTATTGAGAGGGTATCAGGGCATAGTCCACCACGCGGCCCCACTGCGTATTAGCGGACTTCACATATCTTCGAAATATATTTTTTTTTGTTATTATTTCGAAAATATGCAGGTTTCCTCACGATGTTTTCCTTCACCGCGGAGCACGTGATAAGTCAGCACTTAAAGTTAAAAACTTCATTGCACCGGGGATCGAACTCAGGTTGCTCGAGTATATTGAACTAAAGGCGAGCGCCCGGACACTAAGCTATCACGGCTCTAAAAAAGCAGTATAGTAGGAGGAAATTTCTCGCACTTCCACTTTGATGCAACCAATCTTGTCCAGTCACCGACATGCTCCGGATGTCGGTGACTGTCGGTGGGTGTCTGGTGCTTCCCGTGTGGTCCCATATTAATTTCATTGGTATTGGATCTTAGGTCAAACGGTTTACACCGTGCGTATTAAGAGGGACAACTAGTTATATTTTAAAATGTTTACACCTCATCACCTCGATATACCGACAGTCAATCTGGCACCGCTGGAGGGCCTGGAGTGCCCAAGGTTCGACAGAATCGAAGGTCTTCTCATAGTCCACATACTAAAGACATAAAGCTGATAACTATTTTGGAAAAAAGATTTTCGCGTGGCAGCCTCGTACTGACCATCGCAGTATGGGACGACCCCCCACTGCATGGTGTGACGACCTATGCAAGTTTGCGGGAAGTCGATGGATGCAGGTGGCTCAGGATCGTGCTTCGTGGTACTCTGTGGGTGAGGCCTATGTTCAGCAGTGGAGTAGAACAGGCTGAAATGATGAATGATGATATTTCTCGTATATCTAAGCATCACTTGCAAGGACTAAGATATGCTCAGATTTAAGGACAATGACATAAAAGGACGCTTGTGATGCCGATCTGCAGGTTTATAATAAATAATCTATATTATGACTTCTAATAGTTTAATATATATTTATTTACAAGCACTGTGGAATAGAGAACACCCTTATAACGCAATTGTATTGTTGAGACAATTTCCTTTTGTTTCGCTTTTCTTTTCATAAAAAAATACTTTATGACGTGAGTTATTCGTACTAAGATATTCAAATAAACAGCAATCTTAATTGCTTCACTTTTGAACTCAGCTCTAGTGTTCCCTGTGCTTAAGCTCAACCTTTCTATTCCATGTTTTCTATAGGTCTTCTGTAAAGAGAGGCCTTTGATCAGCGGTACAGACTTGTACATTTCGTTTTTGGTAAATTTGAAGCAAAAATTTATGACTACTATTCTATTAAATTAGAGGCTTTTTTACTACTATAAAATAAAAAAGCCTTTTTATTTCAGGCGATAGAAATATTATTTCTCATTAAATAACTCTTGTGCTTTGTAGTTGTTCTTTTTTCCTTAGTTTTTCTCTAGTGTGGGCCCGTTACCTTCTTTATGTCATCTTCCCATCGTGTATATGGTCTGCCAAAGCGTCTTTTTCTTTGTGGGCCAGAGAAGATACTGTAGATGTCTATTTGTCGTCTTCTAAGCGTGCTGTATGGCCAGCCCGTCAAAATTTTTGTTTTTGAGCATATTTTAGTGCATTCATAGCTTTTGTTACATTTCTGATTTTGGTTTTTTTCATTGTCCTTATTTTTAACATACTACGTTCCATACTTCTCTGACAAGTCGTTATTTTGGTTTTTACATTTTTAGTAAAAAAATACCACGATGGCACGCCTGTTTAACATTTAAAAATAAAAAATTGTGAGTCCATAACTTTTTATCGTTAGAGGTATATCTGTTTTTAGTATTTCATTTTGCGCCCAGAATTTATTCCAAGTTATTATTCACCTTTTTCTTTTTATGTGAATAGTTGTCAAACGAGCAGACGGTTCACTTGATGTTAAGTGAATACCGCCGCCCATGGACATCTGCCGCACCCGAGGGTTACAGAGGCGTTGACAACCTTTTGAAAATTGGGCTCCGGCTACCTCACTCACCAGACGAAACGCGAAAGTATTTGTCATACTTCCACTTTACGCTGGTCTTCTGTGAGGTCGTGGTACTCACCCGGATGGGCCTGCCCATTCGTGCAACAGCCGAGGCTGCTGCGTGGCCCTACCACCGTAAACCTATGTTCATTTTGTATGTAATTGTGCTTACTTTCAAAGCCGATTTGTTTTCCAAGTTAGATATAATTTTCATGCTTTTTATTGCCAATCATAATACTTTTTCTTCCATTGTTTGTCATGATTTTTGATTTTGTTACATTTATTTCTAAGCCCACTTTACTGCTGCCTATTTATACTTCTACCACCTCAAAAGTTTTCTCAAGTTGAGAATGAACACGATGTGAACTTTAAGATATCTTGAACTTAAGATACATCGCTGGCATTGTGACGTTTCATGTAACATTATACGATCTTTACCGTCGTACCAAAATGACTAAGTGTGAATTAAACCAATGGACTAACTGTATCGATCTGATATAACTACTCCGATCGAATCAACACTGCTGTGATAACTGTGTGTGTTGTGGCGATTTATTTGGTCTGTGGAACTAAGGGATTCAGAGTGTTAACACTTTTAGCACTTTTCTTACAAATTTGTTCAGGGCTTTCTGTACCTGTAGCAAATATAATTTTTATTTGTAAGTATTAAATTTTTATTTACAAGAAAATTATACTTTCTCTTTTATTCCTAAGTCCTTTATGTTAATGATTACAACAAGGTTTTCTAAAATGTAAAATTGTGCATGAAGTACAAGTTTTAATTGAGGTGGAACGACAGCAACTAACATAACAACAACTCTTGTTGCATAGAAAAGCCAATTCGATAGAAGAAGAGTCTAAGAGCCTATCGAAAGGGCAACGTGAAGATGAAGTATTATTTTGTACTCATACATTTCTCCCGGTTTCATCGATGGGGCGGTTAATTTCGACGTTGAGAAAGCCTTCAATCGGATTTGGCTTCTCTCTAAGATTTTTGGCACTGCTCCCCAATATTAGCTCATATTGGTTTCCTCCTTGGGAATTAATTACATAATTTGATAAGTTCATTTATCGGAGAATTAGAAAAAGTGTTCAAATGCTAAAAAGAACAATGTAGATAAAAATACGTTAAGATTTTTTTCGGTGAGGCAATCAGTTGTTTAGCTTAGTGGCATTTTTATTTAAGTCAGTCTGTTTTATTTATTTTATTTATCTACCTATTTTATTTATTTTATTTATTTTATTCATTTTATTCATTTTATTCATTTTATTCATTTTATTTATTTTATTTATTTTATTTATTGTAGTATAGTCAGTCTGAAAAGATAGGCGCTTTATTTCTCATGTTTTTATTTGGTGACGGCAAGATATTTGTGATAGCTCATGGTCCGGGCGCTCGCTTTTAATTCCATATACTCGAGCAACCTGAGTTCGATCCCCGGTGCCGGCACCAATGAAATTTTTATTTTTAAGTGCTGACTTATCACGTGCTCAGCGGAGAAGGAAAACATTGTGAGGAAACCTGTATATTTTGGAAATAGTAAGAAAAAAAAATTTTTTTGAAGATATGTTAAGTCCGCCAATCCGCGTGCTATGACCATCTCCATGATCTCTTCATTCGCGCCTGATTCTCATAGAGTGTGTACATCCAATGTTTCTCTGGACTAAACTAGATGCAGACATCAGCACGTGTCCTCTTTGGACCTTCTGTTTTTGAAATGATAATTTCTTTACGCGCGTTGAGCACTTTTAGGGTGAACAAAAATCGTGAACTCGCGTCATCGTCACGTCTTTTTATAGATATTTTAATTTGGGGATATTTATTTTTTTTCCCGTCTGATTGGGTTTATAAATAAAATAAACATATAGATATGTAATAATAAATTTATTAATATTTTAATTATTAACATAATATTTATTATAATAATATTTTAACTATTATCATTATACATTTTAATTATTTGTCAATTAAAATAATTATTAACAATTCTTTTAAAATAATAATTCTTTTATTTATAAATCAATATTCATGGTAACTTACTTAGTTTTCACTTCTATCGGCTGTCCCTAAAGACTGACAGTTTTTTTTTTAATACCACGAAAGTATTCGGAACGTCGGTATTTGAAGTTTAAAATGAACTGGTACGTTGATATACCACGGCTTTAAAGGAGACCAGAGTGAAGTGTAAGTGTTATGCGATAGAGTTTGGGTTGGCAATGTATCTGCAGCCTTTGAAGTGATGTAGATGTAATGGATGGTGGTAATCGCTTAATCTCGAGTGAAAAAAATCTGTCTTCAGCCGGTTTGAGTTCATACGACAGACTGCCACGAAGGCGATTAGAGCCTCTTGCATCTATAGACTTCTCACAGACAAATCGCGTTTTCATCTAGCGGGGGTCTTATAACACCAATACTAGGCTGCCTCTCGAGAACCTTTCTTATCCATCGGTCAAAAGTGAATAGAAATTTTAGGAGCTGTGCAGTGTGAAACTAAATTCTGGTCGTAATATAATAATGTATGTGGTGGAATATAAGTAAATGGGTATCAATAAAACATATCTTTTATTCAACGCTTATATTAGCTAAAAAAACTTACGTTACAATAATTACTGTATTATAAAAATTTTAAGTTGTTAATAACTATTGATTGAAACGTTTGATGATAACATAATTGTTGTTATTTTAAAAATTATTACAATGTTTTCCATCACACTCGTATGTCTGTAACATAGTGATTCCATACTATACTTATTTAATTATTACATAACACATTTTGATTCTACGGTAGCTTTAATTAAACTTCTAGAAATTGTAATTGTGCTAAGTTATGATGACAATTTAAATAATATAAATTAGTTATATTAGGGTTTGGATGCAAAAGTGTTTGAAAATGGAACAATGAGAATAACCAAGAAGCATCTTTCGACTATTATATATCATAAAATCCTACGAATATTGATATGTTGCAATATTATTGTAGTCTTCAAAGGGTTTCATTCACTTCGATTACTTTCTCAAAGGATTTCGGAGCTTTTTTCTCTGTAAAAAAAATATTTCTTTTTTTAAAAACCTTTATTGTTATTGTTTAAATTTTATTAAATATACTTAATGTTTAAGAGACAATAATATTTTAGATACCCGTTTAAAGCGAAATAAAGCTAGCAGAAGCTGTCTGTGGAGATTTTTTGATTTATATTATTATTATTTAAAATAATATAAAGCTTAAAATGAACTAAAGGTTTTAATATTTCATGTTTTGTTTAATCCTTTAAGCGGCGTATGTTTTGAAATGTATATTTACCAATCATACAAACAGAGTACTGGGGTGTGTCACAGGACATTCCATAGACTAAACCGTTTAAATGATCCTGACGGTCAAGATTCAAGCAGGGATTGTCCATCGAGAACTCTTCGTCTAGCCATGGCGGCATCTGTTGGGATTTGTTAGTTAACAGAAAACGTTAATGCTTATTTTTAATGAAAATATATAAAGCTAAGGCAATAAGTAACTTGGAAATAATGTAGAAAGGGCGAATGGGCTTGTCCGTCCGTGTAAATACCACGACCTCACAAAGGACCGGCGGGAAGTGGATGTGTTATATATACTGTGTTGTATTTTTCTGCGTTTCGTCTGGTGAGTGAGGTAGCCGGGTCCCACTCTATTAAAGGTGGCAACGCATCTGCAACCCTACGTGTATTGCAAATGTCCATGGGCGGTGGTTATCACTTAACCGCCTCAGGTGAACCGCCAGCTCGCTTGTCACGGTCTCACTAAAAAAGTTAACTTTTGATTAAATGGGTACGAGGAAAACAATTTAAGAATAATAAGTCAGCGTGCAAGGAGTCTTAGCTACAGGGTTCCGTACCCAAAGGGTAAAACGGGACCCTATAGGTAAGACTCCTCTGTCTGTCCGTCTGTCACTAGGCTCTATTTCATGAACCGTGATAATTAGACTGTTGAAATTTTCACATATGATGTATTTCTGTTGCCGCTATAACAACAAATACTAAAAAGCAGAATAAAAATATTTAAGTGGGGCTAGCATACAACAGACATGATTTTTTTTTGATGTTCTTATAGATAATGGTACGGAACCCTTCGTGCGCGAGTCCGATCATGGCCGGTTCCGCACTTGGCCGGTTTATAATAGCAGTCACTTACGTATAGACCATCGATGAATTCTCCGTCGGCTTTCGTGTCTGGGATCCTCCTCCCGTTTGCTGGATTCGTCCACGTGTACGTCACCTGCTCGGTGTTCGCGTCCTTAGTCATGTTGAGGCGCCCTGAGATCCATATGTGTTCAACGGCTGAAATGTTCGATGCGGATTTGAGAGTACGCTACTCACAAACAGATGGCGCTAGGTGCGTTAACAAAAGTTGTTGGTCTACTACTACTAGTCTTCTATATCTTTTATATCTTCCACCGATAATTGTCTCAGCACGATATCTCTAGAACCATAAGGCGTAGAGATTTGAATTTGGTAGGAATATTCCTTTTAACGTTACGAAATTTTACCTGTTGGGTCCGCTAGTATATATATAATAATGATGTTGGATAAGATTCTTGTGAAATTAAGGCGCGGCAGTTTAACGTCACAAGTTTTATGTCTATGTATCCCAGGATATACCGGCAACAATGAGCTATCACGGCTTGGATACAGTGTTATATTTTTCTTAAATTACAGAGCATTTATTTGTATAAACTGTTAGCCAATACACCTGTTAAATGACTACAGTCCTTACTAAAACACGATAAGAACGCTATGTCAAGAAGGGAGTCGAAATGGTTAGGAGAGAAGAAGGAAAACCTCATATCGAGAAGATCTTTGTCTACTTACGCTCGTCTTTGTTTTCACCCATAACCAGAAGCAGCTGTATCAGAATGTCCCGACTCTCCACGTTGGCCAGTGTGCCGTTCATCTTCAGGCAGTTCTCGTACGCGTGCTGCCAGTAGAACTGCTGCCTCACCAGCACGTAGTAGTAATTGTCGTCGCTGGGTGTCGCGACACTTCTCCTCATGCCCGGCACACCTGGAACATTCGAGAAGCTCTTCAGGCTAGTAAAATAACAGCCTATACATATCCCACTATGGGCAAAGTACTCCTCTGGGTGTTTAAGGTTAATTAAACGCAAATATATCAGAGCTGGGATCCTCCAAACAGACACTTAAATATGAATGATGATATGTGAATTGTTTTTTGAGTTTTAGTACATGTAAGGGAATTGGGAGAATTGATTTTTAAAGTTTGCCAGCACTTTTATAAATTCACTCGTGTTGTGGAGGTATATACGCAAATTATTGACAAGAAATACAATAGCTGCAATGGAGATAGAATACGCTATCTCCGTCTACAGATAGATAAAATATTGAAACCGGCCTGGAGCTCTCACTTGTCCGCGGTTGTTATTCGCTATCCACGATTCCTCGAACTTATTTAGTCCAAAACGTGACAAGTAAGCATGTCATCGCACGAAGGATAAACACTAAGTTTTGCACATCAGGATCACAACATCCTAAAACCGATAAATCGCTAAGGATAACTGGGATTTGCCTTTGCTCCATACATCATATCTTCATGAACACCAGAAACGCTTCTTAATTCTTCGGGGTAAGAGGAAATTGATAGTTTTTAATTTCTTCGTGGCAGTTTTTGCACCGGAAGGCTTTACATAAAATATTAAGCAAAACCTCACCTTTGTAACAAATGAACTGCATCCTTCTCTCGCAGCGGCCTTCGAGGAATACAGGACTTTTGGTGGTATGTCTGTCCAGCTGGAGGCAGCCGCTCTGTTTCACTGTCGTACGATCTCTGTTCATCAGGAGAGTAACGAAATAGAAGATTATATTATAATGGAACAACTTTAACTTACGGCAGGGCTGCGCAAAAGATTTGGCTGTTGCAACAATGGGCAGGTCCGTCCGGGTAAGTACCACGACCTCACAGGAGAGCGGCGTGAAATGGAAGTCTCATTCACATGATCTGATGATTGCATAGGTTCGTAGCTTTTTTATTATTATTTTTTATTTTGCCCTTACATTAGGATAACATCATCATGTGTTGTAAGGACGTTTTACAAACATAAATTTCAGACCCAGTCATACACCCAGGTGCAAAACAATCATCTGTGTATCACACATAATTGTACCGTGTGTGAATCGAACCCACGACCCCCGACGCTGAAGGCAATACCTTGGCAACTGCACAACGGAATCATCAAGTTTGTCACCCAAACTGACTCAGACGCATTTCAATCTCTCGTGAGAACACAGCGTTAATATTTAAAAGAATGCTCACGTACCGCATCGGCGGCCACATTTCCGGTTGCACATCAGTGTACGGAGATGCCTGGAAGATGCTGAGACCGGAGTCTATCCAGGCCCAGCGACCGAGTGAGCCCTTGGCGCCCACCCAAGCGTTTTCGATACCTGTGATGCAAACAACTTTAATTTTTGTTCTGAAATCCCCGACAAAGTTTGAGAAAACTGGACACAAATAATTTTCGTCGGCATTCATCATCAGCCGCAAGACGTCCACTGTTGGACATAGGCCTCCCCCTTAGAACGCTACAACTAACGACACTTTGCCATTTCCATTCACTGTATTATCGGCATTAGAATAGTTGAAATAGCCAACAAGCAGGCGGATCACTAAGAATACTTTGAGGATGCTTATTTCATTTGATATAAGCTTGGTTGTCTATTGACACAGTACCACATGTGACAGGCTTTTTGCCAAGTATTTCTTATAATACGGTATAATACGGTAGTATAATACGGTATTTCGTATAATATATAGTATAAGTATTTCCTACGGTGGTAGGGCCACGCAGCAGCCTCGGCTGTTGCATGAATGGGCAGGCCCGTTCCGGTAAGTACCACGACCTCACAGAAGACCGGCGTAAAGTGGAAGTATGACAAATACTTTCGCGTTTCGTATGGTGAGTGCGGTAGCCGGAGCCCAATTTTCAAAAGGTTGTCAACGCATCTGTAACCCTCGGGTGTGGCAGATGTCCATGGGCGGCGGTATTCACTTTACATCAGGTGAACCGTCTGCTCGTTTGACAACTTTTCGCATAAAAAAAAAATTAAAAAAAATAAGACCTAGGTTACTTGATTTGTTTGAACATAAGTACCTCTACTTCGCGTTGGTTTTTACATCCAATTTTGACTATATAATTTGCATATGTTTAGGTTAAACATCCAAAGATGAACTTGGAATGTCATGTTAAATGTAATTTGGTCTACGGATTCTCAGAATCACCTCTCATTCACTCTCACAACCTCGCTGGTATAATATGTGGCTTGGCCCTTCTTATAGTGATTAGCTACGTATGAATAGCTTACATGTTATGATTTAATCAGAAACAAGATGGGATCTTAATAATTATAAAAGTAATATTTTATTTGCGAAAGATAGGGAGGGTACAAAGGTATACCTTAGTATAGTAAAATAAATCGCTAATTATGCTTATTTTTAAATGTGCAAAAATAATACGTTCGCTAATTGATCGTCAGTATGCATGCTAATTGTCTGAATTATAATAATCATAATAAATAATCAGAATGTAAGTACCTTACAGTCCAAGCATATAATAAAATTGAAATAACTCGTATTTCAATTTTATTATACTAATTTTTTTTTTTATTTTATTAATTTTTTTAATACTACCTGACTGAAAACACTGGTAAAAGTACAGACGAACTTACTCGGTCTCGATTTTAGCATTGTGAGCCCAAGCTTCTTCAAGCACCTCATAGTACCGATGTTGGCTAAACTGTCAATCGGAAAATCAGAAAAAGTTTTTATTTTGTTATTTAGCTTTATCATTATCATTAACCAAGTCATTCTACCATTACAGAACGCATTTAATACTTTAGATGTTAATTTACATAGGTTTAGACCTACGATGTTGCGATTATCGTCTGCTTTCAAGGAAATCGGGAATCTGGAAATTTTTAGGGTTACCAAGTGAAGTATTTGTAACGATTGTAACGGATTCAATATCGACTTCGCATTATGGATTCAACACTTTTAAGAGAAAACCGAGTGTTTATACTGTGATTTGTATATACCACCCGATGTTACGAAGTGATAAGCGTTCTAGCTCATTTAGAAGACCTTTTCCCGGTAACGGAACAACTACTTTAAAGTGTAAGTTAAAAGTGTAACAAAAATTGTTGTTACGTTAATTAAAAGCAATTAATTATGATGTTGTTATTCTGCTTCGCTCTAATGACTTACCTTATTATTTAATAATTCATGCTTATTACTTTCTTAAATATAGATTAGAAAGGGAGAATGTCAATGCATCCAGACATTTATCATTGTTGTTCAGTCTACGAAACTTACATTCGTATCGCCTATACCGCTTTACTAGCGTATCAATTTTTAGGTCTCCATTTTAGGTCTTAACTTATATTCAACGGTATTCAACGGTAACACCTTCGGCCGAAGACATATATTTGATCCTAAGTGCAGATAAAATCTCACGTCATTTGTTTTATCACGCAGTGCGCTGCCGCCTGATCCCAGTTCAGCCGCCCGTCGAAGATGTGGTACAGTCCCGTTTTGCAGCGCACCGTTTTCAGCTCTTGTACCGCTACGTCCATCTTGGCATCTGAAAGTGATAAATGGGGCGAAACTAATTCGCGTGCAACTACTCTTCAACACATCGATCACAGCTTCTGTATTTTCATAAAAACTTAGCATCTGAAAGTTGTGAATAACTATGTACAGTTGCGTATAATTCCATTTCCTCGTTAATTATATGTGAGAAAATTTCTGATTTAATAGTCATGTCGTCTTACGCAGTATTCACAACTAAATTTAGATTATGTCCAAAGTAAGCAAATATTTTCAATATAATTTTGTGAATAATTCACTAAGCAGGTCAGTTTTCTAACAAACAATCAATCTTACAGCTTAAATGTTATTAATGCACGGTCGGTGGAAAGATATCGATTCGTCTAGCAATTAAGGAAACCGAAGGATGAACCGTATGCTTACATTCGTTTTTTATTTATGCCAACTTTATTTAATAGAGCCTAAAAGCAGGAATTGGTATTTATGAATGACTTTGATAATCGCTGAGCTGACCAATTACGTTTCACTTACAAAAGGTCTGGCCCAAAAGATGAAGTTCAGATGGTATGCACTAGCTCAATAGCTTGACTTCACTCTTGACTTGAAGACACTCTCCATATAAGTGGACGGGAAACTCACGTTAGCAAATTATTCGATTGCTTTTCTGTACGCATTACGGAAGAGGGATATCAACATAATTTTTCGAATGTGGGTAATGTCAACGCCCAAAGAAGGGTATTCTACTGAGCGTCAACTTTTCCGATGATAGAGAGAAAAGGGGTGGGGGAGGGGTATTAAAATTTTTATTTTCTGTACACACTCTCCAGAATATAAAATAATTGACAGGCTGGCCAACTTAAGCCAGTGTTCGAGACTTAGCAAAATGATTATTATCAGCTCAGGGTCGCTCCCTATGGCAGAAATATTCCATACTCCTTCGGAATTGGGCTTTATATGAGGATCCAAGGTATCTTAACTAGATATACTAGACATTACTCACCCCTCTCACATACGAAGGGCCTCTCTATGAGGCAGGAAAGGTCTAGGAAGACAGGCTTGTCGTGCTGGACTCTCTCCAATGCAACGCAATCGGCGCCACCCTCCGGTACTGGGACATGTGTCCGGTTCAGCCACTTTTAATATAAAAAATGAGCTTTCTTGTAAAAATAGAACGCGCAAATCGAAATATTTTAATATCAATGTACAAGATGAGAGTAGTGATAAATGAATAATACGAAGTAAAATTTCGAAAGTAATGAGGAATTTATAAGATACTAGCGGCCCCGACGGACAACTTATATATAAAAATACGAACTGTAAATGTAAACCATTCTCGAATCGACTTGAAGACACACAAACAATTTCATTAAAATCGGTCCAGCCATTTAGGAACAGTTCAATGACATACACACGTACAAAATAATTATATAGATAAAGATAAAAGTTTAACATGATGCAGCTTTAGGGCTTACAAATTTGTTGCCCTCAGCGGGCCTCCTGGTCTGTCAAGTTTCAAGTGTACATTGGCAACTTTCTACATGTACATGCTTAATTAGAACTGGTTCATTCTTTTGATCTACATCATGATGATGCTAAAATTGGATAAACAATACTTCTTGAAACCGTATTCGTAGTCGGTTATTCGTAGTGGTTAGTATTATTAGTAGTAGTAATTATTACAATTTGCTTTTTTGTAACATTTAGTACAGGGTTGGCTGTAACACTCACTAGAGGATAACGTTTTGAGTTTATTTCATCCTTTTCACTCATTAGAATGTCGGCAGCGGTCCGTCTCAGTTCCACACCCTGGCTCCATCTGTAGCCCTCCGGATCTTCACTCGAGTCTCTTCTTGCGCCCACCCAAACGGATTCCACTTCTGCACCACATTAAAATTATTAGGAGAAGAATATCAAGTTTTCTTCTTGTACAAGATGTGTGGCGGGTTAGACCGTTTTATATCTTGGCCATCTATGCCCAGTTCAGAAGTTGATTTCGAATATGCTGATTGTAGTTAGAAATCTTAGTATTAATACAGATAAGAATAGAAGATTTTCTTGTTTGCATGGGAAACGCTTTAAGGTGTTTTTCATTTTCTAGATTTTAATATCAATTTGATTCAATTTTCCCAATATAAATTACGGCAGACGGCGGGAAGCTAGTTTAATGTAAGGCGATTCATAAACTAGGAAGAGCGGCTATTTTTGCATTTTTAACTAACCAGCTACCTCTGGTATGAGGAAGCTCATAAAAAAGAAAAGAAACCGAATTGAAACTTCACTTGCCTAGTTGCGATTCCGAGAGCGCTTCAGCCAAAAACTCGGATTTCTCCCGAGTGTCCAATATCGCCAAGTTTCCATTGTGATGACCCCTGGACAAAAAGATATAATAGAATAGTTTCCTCCAATCACTGTCACACATTTTAGCCAGGTGTACAAACTGCAATTGGCGGTTGGAAATGGTAGTGTTGTTCAATGTACGATAATGATAGCATATAGAAAGAATCTAATCTTATAATGCTAATTTTAAACAAAATTATTTTCTCTGTGGTTGTGCCACGCAACAGTCTTCTCTGTTGCACGAATGGGCAGGTCCGTCCGGGGAAGTACTGCGACCTCACAGAAGACCAGCGTGAAGTGGAAATATTATACTTTCGCGTTTCTTCTGGTGGGTGAGGTAGCCCACTCTGCAACCCTAAGGGTGTTGCTAATGTCAATTGGCGACAGTTATCACTTAACATCAGGTGAAACGTCTGCTCGGTTTCCACTCCCATAAGAAATAGAAAAAAGGCAAGCATTTTAAATTATAGTATTTTACAGAACTCCATCAGTAACTTTAAACTGCGCCGCGGGAACAAACCAGAAAATTCATATTTTTTTTTGTGAAATTTCTCCGTATCCCATCTAAGAGAATCGTCTCATAGTTCCTTATAGGTACAGAAACAAAGACTAGGGTGAATAGGCTTACTGAGTAACTATCTTGTACCACTAATGCCTGCACCACTACATAATATGATAAGGATATATGATATAATGATTTTTCAGAACTATGCGAACACTAAACATTATTAAAGTCAAAGTCAAAGTCAAAGTCAAATATCTTTATTCAATATAGAAGCATTCACTTACTTATTGATAGTCAAAAAACTCTACCACCGGTTCGGAAGGTAAACCACTGACCTGAGAAGAACCGGCGTAAGAAACTCAGCGGGACATTATTTTTTTTTTACTTGCCAAAAAAATTACAAATATGTGTACAATTATTAAACTCCTATTAAACTCCACTTGAAAGAGCCTGGAGCGATCAATTCATTTCCAGAGTGTGTTATCATTCATATAATCACTAATACTATAATAGCCATTAACACAACAAAACGTTCCTTTACAAGTTTTTTGAATTTAGCAACGGATTCATTTTGAACGTTTTCTGGGATTTTGTTGTAAAAGCGTATACATTGTCCCATAAAAGATTTACTTATTCTACGCAATCTAGTTGAGGGTAGAAATGAAACTGTCAGACTCGGACAGTTTCATTTAATGTATTTATAAATAAATATACTGATATGGTTATTAATTTAACTCACCGACATAAAATCTTTGCGTTCTCCCATGTGACGGGCAGATTTTGTATGAGATACTCCTTTTCTTTCAGTATATACGACTCCCAGTTTTGTGAATATTCGTGTGGCACTGGAATAATATTAATATAAAAATATTATCTCGATATTTGAACCGCATTGTATGGACATAGACTGGCAATACACAGTAAGATCGGAAAAATAAATTTTAGGCTAGACTGTAGTTGAAGTAATTTTGAGTAGCACATGACCAATTAAACTTTACTTAATTATACTTTGGGAATAAACATCACTGGAAGAAGATAAATTTAATTTTCATCATAAATAAACCTTTGCCATTTTATCGTGCCAATATTTTTAATTTCCAACGGGCAAAATACAGTACAGATGGAAAAACTAGAAAGATTTATTGATTAGTGGTTAAAATGATTGATTATCATTTTTATTTTTTTAGTTCGTTTTTTGTGTTATAAGAAAACTTATTTTATTATATACACAACCTCGATACTGCTCCTTGTAACTGGCTTGGCACAAAATGAAAATCAAACAAAAATTAAATAATTTAAAGTTAGAACGCATTTTGCTGCGTCCTATTGCAAACGGTTCTAAGTCAAAACTGTTAGATAACACCGCAGGTGCAGAATTATAAAGGCATATGAGGAATGTTATAAATTTATTATTGAAATCTGATTACAATAGTATATCGCTTATGAAAGGATTTGTATTCTCATAACAAGAGTGAAAATCAGTTTCATTACTTTGACATACAGGATGTTTTTGTTCTTGTATTAGTAGTACTTAGTAGTACTTTAAAAAAAGTTTACGTACATCTAAATGTTTTGAAAATTTTAAAACGAATAATAGATATTTCGATATATTTATTTCTGTTTTTTAAGTTTTTCCTCACAGACCTTAATGATAGATAGCAATTTATTTTGTTTATTGAACAGAACCTGTGTGTTGTATACACATAAACATAAAATATAAAAAAAGGTTGAGTTTTGTTACTGATCACGACACGCACCGAATATGTATTAAACAGAACCGAGCATTCGGTCAAACATTCGGTTTAACAAATTTATACATATTATTAAAATATATCCAAAAAGTAAAGATTATAATATGTAACATTATACTTAAAATACTACAAAAATTTGTTGATTTAAAATTTAAATGAAATTTTTAAACTTATTAATTTTAAATTAATTAATTAGGTATAACTAGCCAACATTATTTTTATTTTTATGACTCGAACAATTAATTACAACTATATTTAAAATTGTTAATTTTATCAAATAATCAATTTTATTTAGCGGACTTTCTCGTTTGTTAAAAAAAATATAATTATTTCAATTAATAAACCCTGAATTATTTTTTTTATTGTTTATTATTTTTTTAAATGTTTATAATTAAAAAATAATTTTCATATTAAAAAATTCGTATTATTTTCTGTTTAATTAAATTCTTGTTAAACTCTCTACGTTTTATAGATTGTATGGTGTATTGTACACCATACATTACTTACAATTATCAGGCAAAATGCCTGATATTTGGCCGAATACGAACATAAAAAGAAAGAATAAAAAGCGAATGTTCGGCGCGTCTCTACTAAGTATGGACTCTGGGTGGCGTGACGTTCGTAACGTTAGTCTCAAATAAATCATTAATATTCTCATTATATGAATAATCATATAAATTGCTTCTATAATGCTCTAAATTGTCCATTACAATTACTAAAGAATTTAAAATTATGCATACCCAAGTGCATTCACATAACAGAACACCCTTATTAAACGGGCATTATTCGAACAAGTAATATTGTGACAGATTTCTATGGCTCCGCATTTTACATCATATTATCATATATAAAATTATTGGGAAATGACTTATAACAATACTTATATAATTATGCAATACTTATATAATTACTTGCTTTATTCGTGCTAGTCATGCGGTCAAGATACAACTTAAATGTAGTTAAATAAGTTATTAAACAACTAGATGTCCCCCGCCCGCTTCTCTGGGTTATATCATCTTCTACAAGTCAAAAAGATTGGTTCCGGATAAGTTATCACTATAATATCATATACTTAAACCTTCCCCGAATGCTGAATAGTGATAAATTCAAAGAGTTTAACCATCCTTTTGCCAACTGAAATGACATTTGACAAGCCATTTAACAGCTGATTAGTTAATTTATACGATGATCAGTGTTTCAGAAATGGAGCGTCAGTATTGGTAATAGCATTTTTCCTAATGAGATTATTCGCGGCCATGGTGCTTTTTAGAATCCTCTGCAAGAGAAGTGGATGTTGTTGCAATCCTGGTTGATGATACAAGCGTATTCGGACTAGAACAAATTATTTTTCGTGTAAGTAAGTAACAATGGCCCTCGAAATTTCTCTAACTATACATATATCTAACTTTCAGAATTTTCTTGTTTATATTGACGTCATCAAAGCTAAAGAAAACTTTTTTTTTTTTTTCAGTGGTTTCCAAGAATTAGTATTTATGTCAAATAATTCTTGGATAGCTGCCTTGCTTATAAGGTTACACGGTTACAAGGTTATAAGGTTGAAATATAAATATGTATTGCTATCAATCCTAATGTTTTAATGTTCGAGGGCATGCTTAATTGTTAATAATGTTTCATGAGAAAGTATTTCTTTTTTCTAGTTGAACGTGAAGGTATATTTTTAGCCGTAATCAATTGTGCTCTTTAGGGTTTTGTACCCAAAGGGTAAAACGGGGCCCTATTACTAACACTCCGCTGTCTGTCTGTCTGTCCGTCTGTCAGGGTGTATCTCATGAACCATGATAGTCAGACAGTTGAAATTTTCACAAATGATGTATTTCCGTTGCCACTTGATTAAAAGATACTAAAAAAACTAAATAATTTATACGACAGACATATTTTTTTTTTTGCCGTTTTATAGATAATGGTATGGAACCCTTCATACGCGAGCCCCATTTGCACTTTGTCGATTTTTCAACCGACTTAAAAAAAGGATTCGATTGTTTTTTTTTATGTTTGTTACTCCAGAACTTTCGATTGAGCGAACTTATTTTTATTTTAAAGCTGGTGGTCCCATATTAGTTTCATTGGTATTGGATCTTGGGCTCCGGAGATACTGAAGGGAAATCGATTATAAAATGAATAGGGAGCGAGATATTATAAGTCGGTTTTGTTCGTTAATACCTCTGATTTCATATTTCGTGTTTCTAGAGAGCATTGTGCGAAGAATTGAGATCTTCCAGAACGGCTCTGATATGCGATCTTTTTACCTTTATTTGTAGGCGAGGGTCTGACTCGGTTAGGCTCTGGTATATCGGTACTAGGACCTTTTTTGGGTCCTTTTTACTCTAACAGCCTAATCTATTGTTATCCTACAGCCGTAGGATGTCTACTGACTTTCATCGTTAGATCTGATTCTTTGACTCATCATTATCATCATTTCGGCAAGTTTCAGTCCACAGCTGGACATAAGCCGCTGACTGTCACGTAGCAAGATCCTGATGCCAAATTTAAGCTTTGATTAATGAAAGGAACTCGTTAAAATATATCAAAGTGGAGAGAGTGTTGCATTTTGCATTCAGAGCGGGACAAAAAGTCTTAAAAACTATAAAATAGGTAACAATACAGTAACAATGTAAATGAAACTCATCGTATTGAAAATTTCAGCAAGACTGTGACATCGTAATGCCAAGCGATAATAAACACGAGCTATTACGGGAATTTTCGAAATAAATGTCTAGCAATATCGCACCTTCATCGCTTCTAGGAAGTGTTTATGCGAGAGAGTAGACCTTATATACAATCGAATATAGCATTACACTTTATTAGTAGCAAATGATAACTTTTACAAAGTAATATTTAATATATGATTTATTTGGAGAGAACTTGTCGACAGTTGTTCGGCACTGTTCTGATTCGAGCCTGCGTTTGTATCACTACATAGTATAAAACGAAGTCGTCACGCAGTCTGTCTGTCCCTATGTATGCTTAGATCTTTAAAACTACACAACAGATCTTGATGCTGTTTTTTCACTAGATAGAGTGATTCAAGAGGAAGGTTTATATGTATAATATATGCATAATAATATGGTAGAGTAGCTATATTCAGTATCAGCATTGCACCCGCGGGAAGTTCGCTAGTTAATTATGAATGTTCTATGGCAATATACGTCTACAACATTACTTGTGTGTTTTTTGACTATGATATTATTAAAGAAACACAAAACTAATAGCGTGGATATTACACAAATAGAATAAAACACTGAAAATAGCATAAACAACCTAATTAATCACCTTAAATCTTTAGTCTTCACAGCTTATTTGCTTTGTTTACATGCGGTTATGAGAGATAACGCGTTGAAAGTATAATTTCGTTGGGTAAGTAGAAAACATATTTTTAACTGTATAAAGATAATCTTGTCGACGAAACTTAAGATTTCTAAGTGGCTCTGTAACGTGTATTTTTTGTATATTTATATATACACTTTTAAAATATGTTAAGTTGTATAAAGTAAAATAAAATAACAACCTTTCCATATCCCACTGCTGGGAAAACGCTTCCTCTGTACAGAGAGGAATAGGGCATAGTCCACCACACGGCCACTCTGTGAAATATCTCTTTTTATGTGAAAAGCCGCGATAGCTCAGTGTCCGGGCGCTCGCCTTTAATTCAATATACTCGAGCAACCTGAGTTCGATCCCCGGTGCCGGCACCAATGAAGTTTTTAACTTTAAGTGCTGACTTATCACGTGCTCCGCGGTGAAGGAAAACATCGTGAGGAAACCTGCATATTTTCGAAATAATAACAAAAAAAATAAATATATTTCGAAGATATGTGAAGTCCGCCAACCCGCAGTGGGGCCGCGTGGTGGACTATGCCCTGATACCCTCTCTATAGAGGAGGCCTTTGCCCAGCAGTGGGACATGTATAGGCTGTTACTTTACTTTTTACTTTTATGTGAAAAGTTGCCAAACGAGCAGACGGTTCACTTAATAGTGAGTAAATACCGCCGCCCATGGACATCTGCCACACCCGAGGGTTACATATGCGTTGACCACCTTTTGAAAATTGGGCTCCGGCCACCTCACTCACCAGACGAAACGCGAAAGTATTTGTCACACTTCCACTTTACGCTGGTCTTCTGTGAGGTCGTGGTACTTACCCGGACGGGCCTGCCCATTCGTGCAACAGCCGAGGGTGGTGCGTGGCCCTACCACCGTTAGTAGTTTTTTTCCTTATTATTTAAAATATATGCAGCTTTCAGCCAGCACTTAAAACTAACAATTTCATAGGTACCGGCACCGGGGGTCGAACTCAGGTTGCTCGAGTATACCTATTTAATTAAAGGCGAGCGCCCGGATATTGAGCTGTCACGGCTCTTTTATATTATTTGGCTCTGTTATATATTTAATTGCAATCTTTTTTCAGTTCTTCGGCTTTAGATAAAGTAATAGACTATGTAACAAATGAAAAGGACCACAACTCTTATTAATATAACGTGTCTTTGAGGCTCATAACCTCGGCTTAGAGTTGGCCGCAAATTTGCGATACGAGAACCATAT